ACATCAATTCCAAAACCGCAATTACCTGGAACAGAAGTTAGAACCACAGTTCCTATACCGGACATATAGGCCTAACTCTAGATATTCAGCGGGCTTTGTATTTATGCAGCTCTCTTCAAATTGACTATTCATCTCATGCTGCCATCTGCAGGCCAGAAACAGCATTATTTAACAGAAATAAAGAATGAATGAGCACCTTGTTTTTGGTGGATTTACTTGTTTTTTTATGTAACATATTCCTTGATAATAATGGTAGACATCTGTGTGCATGAACATAGACACAGCAGAATTTACCACACGAACATGATGGGAGACAGCCTAGCCTACTTCAAGTGGACATACAGTAATTCCATCCCCAGAGAGCGCCAGTGTCTATTATCTTTAGACCGTCGAAGATCTAGCCTCCAACAATGGTGAGCGCAGTGGGAAAAAGCCCACCAGTCCTTTCCGGAGATGAAAAGTGGGGACAGAGTGGACAGATCAAGCATCATTTCCAGAATAAGACCAAGAGGTCAGTTATGAAATATGCATATAAATTGATGTTTATGTTTAGCCTTATCCTTTCTTATGCATTGTAAGCCTATGGTGGATGTAGCTACCAGGCCTGTTAGCTCCAATTTGCATGCGTCTAGTAGGCTCGGACCTAACATGTCCAGAACTGATTAAAGAACAGAGCAATGCTTCCATTTCAGTTCAAAGTTGCCTTGTATGCAATTATATAGAACTTCGAAAATGCCAAGTTTTAGAAAATTGTAGCCCACACTCATGTTTTTAAGCAAGTCTGCTTTTTAAGAAGACGTTTGGACTCGGGTGCTCTGGATCCTTTGATGACAATGTCTCATCAAACAGAGCTTTTGTGAGTGTTTGTAATTTGCACACTATACTCAATAAAATGTGTATACAAATAAAATACAATTATTTTAAAAAAATCTTTAAAACAATTATAATTATATTAAATATAATATAAATGTCAGTTATACAAAAAATGTTTAACTAATTTATATTTTAAAGAATTAACACTATGGGCCCTGGAGATACAGTATACAGTCTCAGTAATCTCAGCAATACACACTGTGTGTACAAAACATTAGGAACACCTGCTCTTTCCATGACATTACTGACCAGGTGAATCCAGTTGAAAGCTATGATCCTTTATTGATGTCACCTGTTAAATCCACTTCAATCAGTGTAGATGCAGGGGAGGAGACCGGTTAATGAGACATGGATTGTGTATGTCTGCCATTCAGAGGGTGAATGGGCAAGACAAAATATTTAAGTGCCTTTGAACGGGGTATGATAGTAGGTGCCAGGCGCACCGGTTTGTGTCAAGAACTGCAACGCTGCTGGGTTTTTCCCGCTCAACAGTTTCTCCTGTGTATCAAGAATGGTCCACCACCCAAAGGACATCCAGCCAACTTGACACAACTGTGGGAAGCATTGGAGTCAACATGGGCCAGCATCCCTGTGGAATGCTTTCGACACCTTGTAGAGTCCATGCCCTGGCAAATTGAGGCTGTTCTGAGGGCAAAAGGGGGTGCAACTCAATATTAGGAAGGTTTTCCTAATGTTTTGTACACTCAGTATAAATCATACAGTATAAAAACACACAAAAGAGATACAAATGTAATTTTATTCATTGCTCTGTTTTGCTCGACATGCAAGAGAAGAAACAGCACCCTCCACTCCAGCAGCGTCCAGCCTTCTCCTTCTCCTTCTCATCCCCCTCTCCCTCTCTCACTGCATTCTCTGGCTGTTCCATCACCAGCTGGCAGCACGACGACTGGGGTGCCACGGTCATCAGGCTCTGAAGCTCCTCTGTCGCCTCCCCTTCCACCTCCGTCACCATGACAACCGCCTCTTTGACCCCAGTGACATGGATGTGGATCTGGCCGGCGTCCCTGGTGCTCATTGGCCGAGGGCTGCTGGGCTGGGAGAGCAGAGGGGTGGCGTCAGTGGGTTTCAGGGGGTCTGAGAGATGGGCGGTGGTGGTGGTGGGAGCCTGGGGGGTAGCATCAAACTTCACCACCTGGGGCCAGGGGTGGGCTGGGCTAAACCCTGGCTCAAAGATGGAGTCACGGCAGAGCTGAGAGCGCTGAGCCTCTTCCACCTGTGGCAGGGCATGCTGGGATAGTAGCGGTGTGGTCGGGGCTGAGTTCGGGTCCAGACTGAGGTTGTTCATAGAGCCCCAGTTGGGTCCACCCTCGCCCTGGGTGGATCCACGGGCTGGTGAGTAACCAGGAGGGGGTGTGCTGGTAGGCAGCAGCAGGTCAGTGCTACCTATACCACAGCCTGGTCCGAACACTTCAGGGAACATCTGTGGCTGGAAGAGCTCCTGAAGGGAAGGGGCAGTCTCAGCAGCCAGGTCCACAGGTAAGACAGTTGGCGGTGGGCTTGGAGAGCCAGGCTCAGGTGTGGTGGTCTCAAGGAGCATGGTGGTGGTCACAGCAGGCTGGGGCTCCTCGATGGTTGAACATGTTGCCCCAGAGTTCTCCAGGCCCAGATCCCCTAACTCTTTGAAAAAAGAGTATTTTAGAGAGACAGGGTCTTCATAGAGGAAGTCACTGCTCAGAGCTGGACCATCGAAGCAGCCTTTCAGTTGACACTCCAGTTCTCTGCAGAAGTCAGAGTTGGTGCGCCTGAGCTTGGGTGTCCCTGGCTCCTGGCTTGGTGTTGAGGACAGGCCTCCAAACATCTCTCTGTTCACCAAGGGATACATCTGGCAGTCTGGCTGGCCATCGAATAATACAGCCTCTGAGAAAGGTAGTGAAGGCCCAATCAGATTTTTCTCAGGGGGTTGGTCGCCCTTGCTGTTCTCCATGTCTGCTCAAACTATGAAGACATTTGAAAATTCCTATTCTTTATTAAGGGTGGGCGTGGTCAGAACGCAACATTATTACCTGTAACATTGTTACATCAAGGTTCTGATCCACACTAAAACAAGGTAGTCATCCTAACTGAACCGTGAAACACGTAATAATGTGTTACACGGTTCTAAAACGTTTACCGTCATGGCGGGAAAGAAGAGATAACAGGAAAATAATTAATGACGTTTTCACCGCTGCAGAACACACACACAACATAGCCTAACTGTTACCCAAATTGCCAGAATAAATGTTAATGTAGCAGCCTAGGCTATTTTCGTAGCTTCACACAATAATAGCATATAGTTGCACAATTAAATGCTACTTTGGAACAGGCCCATAGAAAGGTGGTTTTAGGCTAAATGAGGAGCTTTGGGTCTCTATTTATATATAACCAAATTTACAACACATATTCTTTGTACAGTAGGCCTACACACAATATGGATGGATTTTCCTACCTTTTTAAATTCACTAGTCGCTTGCACAATGGAAGAGATAGGTAGTTTATATTTGAACCTAGGTGATTTATATTTGAACTGTGCATAATAAAGATTTTAGTACCTTGAGTTAAGAATGCTGCTCTATTATTTTACTCTTTCTAACTTTAGATAGTAGCCTATGTTGAACATTAGAAACGCGGTGGAACTAATTGACCAATATCAGTGAGTCCGCGCGCGGATTCATTGTGTGGTTGTTGGCCACCGGATACTATTCCTGTTGCCACCAGTCGGAAGACCTTACCCCCAACAATTGTGAGCGCGGGCTGAAAAAGACCACCTGTCCTTTCCGGAGATGAAAAGCGAGGACCAGAGAGGACAGACCAAGCATAATGTCCAGAATAAGACAAAGAGGTGATTTGTGAAATATGCATATACATTTAGCTTATACTTTTTTATGCATTGTAAACCTGTTAGCTCCAATTTGCATGCATCTCGGCTCGGACCAAACATGTCCAGAACAGAAACGCTTCCATTTCAGTTAAAGGTTGGGTATGAAATTAGAATTTCGAAAATGCCAAGTTTGTAGGAAATTGCAGCCAACATTCATGTTTTAAGCACATCTGCTTTTTAAGAAGACGTTTGGACACAGGTGGTCTGGATCCTTTGATGATGCCGACGATATCTCATCAAACAGATGCCTTGGCCCTAAAGAGTTTTTGTTTTAACTAAATTAGTAATTATAAAAGACCTTTACCTTTAGGTATACTCTACATATGTATCTAAATCTATTTACTTTGTTTTAGTCCAAAAGTCACCAGGCGACAGAAAAGGTCGGAAGTATTTGAATTTGAAGCGCCCCATATTGCTGAATGGGTCATGGCTAGAAGGTATACAGCTTTTGTCACATTAACATCAAAAGTTGATATTTTATTTTCTTTTAGACAACTAACCCTAACCCTTTTCCTAACCTTAACCTAATTCTCCTAACCTGCTTTGCAAGTTATCCTAACCTGCTACGGAGTAAAATTGTATATTCATTTGTCAAAAGCTGTATCCCTTCTAGTCATGACCTGCCTAATGGGGCTGAATGGCACCAAAATCACGAAGGATCATAGAGAAAGTGGCCATAATTAGCAAAGAGTCATGTTCGATGTAGTCGTTTTCATCCTGCCTGAGAGACACAGCGCACGCCTCTTCATAGCCTGCTGGCCTGTGATTGGTCTGTGTCAGTACATGGTCCTGTGTGATGACTAGTAGTCAGAATGGATCACTATTTAATTAAATATATCGATTTGTAGCGAACTTGAAAAGAAAACACATTTTAGAGCCCAGCTGTTTAAAAAAAATTGGGGGCCATTCTGGCTATCATAATTTATATAGGCTTTCTAAGGCAGACCAGGGCTTTTGGCACCGCTAGGTTGCTACACAGTATCTGACCAGCAGAGCACTTGGCTTCACGCTCTCACACAGGCACACACAGTATCTGCGCATGTGCACGAGTTTGCTTCACGCTGTTACAGCATGGTAGCCAGGGGACCAAAACAGCGGAAGAAGTTGAGCCTTTCGCTTCAACCCTACTATGCTGTTTACCTTCTGCATCTACGTCATATCACTGAGTCTACCAACTCAGTTCTTGTAATACAGTTCCTCTCTCAGGGAGGAGGATGCAGCTCCGGTCCTTGTGTCCGACTCCACCAGAGAACCACCAGAGACCAGGATGTCAAAGAAGAAGAAGAAGACTATCCCCAGACCACCTGTCACAAAGGATGCAGAGAAGTGTAATGATGGCCCAACTGAGATCAGTAGGCAAGTCTCAAACATTCTAAATGCTCAGTTCTTGTTTTTGTTATAAAAAAATCAAATTAACACACCTGACATGCATCTAAACCCATTTCCATTGTTTTAGCCCCAATACCACCCCAAGGAGAAAGTGCCTTTTCCCAACCCTGTGAGTAACGGAGTCACACAATTAAATTAAATGAACAATTCATGATTTATGAGTGCCACCTCCCTCAGGAAGTCTGAGCCAGAGCCAGACCCAGACCCTCTGTCTGAGCCAGCAGAGACCAGCGAGCCACAGCAGAAGGCGGCAATCTTCAACCCACCTGCCAGAAAGCGACTGAAGAGGACCAGGTCAGGTTACACTCTAGTCATAGTTATTTCATACTATATTCACGCCATTAGATAGTTGAATCCCAATTTGTAGTTCCACATTGTCCATATTTTCTTTTGTGTCTATTCTACCTCAGAAAGTTGGAGCCAGCCCCAGCCCCTCGCTCTGAGCCACCAGAGAGCATGAAGTCAAAGGAGATGGAGATCCCAGGTCCACCTGCCACAAAGAGACTGAAGAGGACCAGGTCACTCACTAGTTATCTCATACAATAGTCACACTATTATGTAGTCAGTTGAATCTCAATTTCTTATTTTCAGATTCTATTGTCCACATTGTTTTCTGTTCTAAGATTTTCGTTTAATTTGGGTCTGTTCTATCATGTTCTACCTCAGGAAGTTGGAGCCAGCTCCAGCCCCTCTCTCTGAACCTCTAGACACCAGGAAGTCAAAGAAGAAAATAATCCCTGGCCCACCAGCCACTCAGCAAGTGAAGAGATCCAGATGTCCTCCCAGACCCTGGACCCCTAACCCAGTGAAGACTAGACGTAGGCCACCTTCAGCCACAGCCCCTACCTGTGAGATAGGTATAACTACACGTACCTTGAGATCTAAGGTAGCGACAAGCCCTACCTTGAAGTCAGGTGTAGCCACATCCCCATCCAGCGGTGCAGCCTTTTCCACATCCCCTGAGAGGAAGAAGATGAGGAAGAAGGACAGGAAGAGGGCCAGGTGCAGTGGTACGGCCGTTCCCACCCCCCCTGAGAGGAGGAAGAAGAAGAGGGCGAGGTGCTGCCCTGTCCCGCTGAACAACCCCTTGTCTGTCTGTCGGTCACAGAGGGCCACCCAGGGCAGGAAGGCCTGTGTGTGGTGCAAACAGGGGAAAGAGTGGGTGAAAACCATCTGGCAGTGTGAGGCCTGTCAGGTGGCCCTCTGTCTCATACCGGGCAGAAACTGCTTCAGGGCCTGGCACGAGACTCACAAGTGGAACGAGGCAGTCAGCTTCAGTCTGTTTTGTTAAAAGTTGTCAAATATGTGGGTCTGGAGGCTCAGCATGAGATGTTAGTGGTTTGTGGTCAAAAAAGCCCACTTTCAGTTCCTAGTTGGTTATATTGGTTTAGTAGAATACATATTCAGGTATACATACATTAAATAATACATATTTCCTTTGTGGATGTTTTTGAAAACAAAGGAACATTTTCTTAAAAGCCCTTTTCGTCATGTTGTTTAAGTTGACATTAAATGCATTGTTAAAAAACGAGTATACCTCTTTCAAATGTGTGCACTTTGTACATTACATTACAGTTCTTGTTCTTACAACTAACAGTGGTCCAAACAGTATCTTTCAATACTACTTACAAAGACAGCTGAACACAAAAAACAACCATGTACAGTGCCTTCAGAAAGTATTCATACCCCATTTTGTTGTTACAGCCTGAATTCAAAATTGATTAAATAGATTTCTCACCCATCTACACATGATACCCCATAATGACAAAAGTGAAAATGTTAAGACATTTTTGTGAATTTATTGGAAATTAAAAACATAAATATCTCATTTACAGAAGTATTCACACCCCAGTCAATACATGTTAAAGTCACCTTTGGCAGCAATTACAGCTGTGAGTCTTTCTGGGTAAGTCTAAGAGCTTTGCACATGTGGATTGTACAATATTTGTACATTATTCTTAAAAAAACTATTCAAGCTCTGTCAAGTTGGTTGTTGATCATTTCTAGAAAGCCATTTAACTCTTGCCATAGATTTAAGCTGATTTAAGTCAACTAATTAGGCCAATCAGGAACATTCAATGTTGTCTTGGTAAGAAACTCCAGTTGGCCTTGTGTTTTAAGTTATTGTGTGGCTGAAAGGTGAATTTGTCTCCCAGTGTCTGTTGGAAAGCAGACTGAACCAGGTTTTCCTCTATGATTTTGCATGTGCTTCACTCTATTCCATTAATTTTTTATCCTAAACAACTCCCTAGTCCTTGCCGATGACAAGCATACCCATAACATGATGCAGCCACCACCATGCTTGAAAATATGAAGAGTGGTACTCCGTGATGTGTTGGATTTGCCCCAAACATTACGCTTTTGTATTCAGGACATAAAGTTCATTTCGTTGCCATTTTTTAAAGTTTTACTTTAGTGCCTCATTGCAAGGATGCATGTTTCAGAATATTTTTTATTCTGTACAGGCTACCTTCTTTTCACTCTGTCATTTAGGTTAGTATTGTGGAGTAACTATAATGTTGTTGCTCCATCCTCAGTTTTCTCCTATTACAGCCATTAAACTCTGTAACTGTTTTAAAGTCACCATTGGCCTCATGGTAAAATCCCTGAACGGTTCCTTCCTCTCCGGAAACTTAGTTAGGAAGGACACCTGTATCTTTGTAGTGACTGGGTGTATTGATACACCGTCCAAAGTGCAATTAATAACTTCACCATGCTCAAAGGGATATTCAATGTCTGCTTTTTCATTTGTACCCATACCAATTGGAAAACCTCCCTGGTCTTTGTGGTTGAATCTGTGTTTGAAATTCACTGCTTGACTGCAGGACTTTACAGATAGATAATTGTATGTGTGGGGTACAGAGATGAGGTAGTCATTAAAAAATAATGTTAAACACTATTATTGGACACAGAGTCCACGCAACTTATTATGGGACTTTTTTAAATAATTGTTTTACTCCTGAACTTATTTAGGCTTGCCATAATAAAAAGGGGTTGAAATCTTATGGACAAGACATTTCAGATTTTCATTTTTAATACATTTGTAAAAACATAATTCCACTTGGACATTATGGGGTATTGTGTGGAACTTATTTAGGCTTGCCATAATAAAGGGGTTGAATTCTTATGGACAAGACATTTCAGCTTTTCATTTTTAATACATTTGTACAAATTTGTAAAAACATAATTCCACTTGGACATTATGGGGTATTGTGTGTAGGCCATTGACACAAAATCACAATTTAATCCATTTTAAATTCATGCTGTTACAACAAAACATGGAAAAAGTCAAGGGGTGTGAATATTTTCTGAAGGCACTGTTATATCATAGACACAAACCTTTGATGAACCATTTATTTTTATTTGAAATAATTCCAACTTTCCACTAATATATTAAACTAATATACAGCACTTTTGCAGTGCCTAAATAAAAAATATCCAGCTACTTAAACAAAAGTTCACCCTAAGTTAACGAATTAGAATACACAGTATATTTATTATTTTCTCTTATGGACAATACAAAGCTACACTAATAAATCCATATATCAAAACACAGAAAAAGCATACACTACTAAGGTTTTCCTGAGTCCCTCCCTAGTCCTCCAACCCTGGTCCCATAGAGCTGTGTGAACCAGACACAGTGCTGTAGCAGACCAGGCAGCCTGGTTGTATCAGGGGACTTCTCCTCCAAAGGATGAGGCGGCTGTCCAGGAGCTGAAAAGCAGGATGGAGGTGGTGATCCTTCTCCCTCTCTTCCTCTCTTCCCCCTTCTCCTACCTCTCCTCTTCCCCTTACTCCTTCTCCTCACTCTCCCATAGTGGTGGTGGAGAGACTAGAGAGGGGGTTATTGATCCCACTCAGGAGTTCAGGCATTAGTTCCACCAGGGTGAATAGACTAGAGACGGACAGCGCTCTGTGAGCCACTCTAGTGGGGCCTACAAGGCAGGGCTGAGTGGAGCTAGGATGTACCTTTCTGATTTTGATCTCTTCGACATCACTTTTATTGACTGAAGCACTGTCCTGTGCTTTAGTTCCAACGGGAAAGGCAGTGGCCTTGCCTTGCTGGAAGCCCGGGTGGGCACAGCCTAGTCATGTGTTATCCCAGCTGCTGTTCAACAACTTGTGGTGATGTGATGAGTTCTCTATGATTGGCTGAGGTTGAGAGGTAATCCCTCCTATCATCTGAGATGAGATGGCCACTGACCACAGCTATCAGGCCCTGGGTTAGCATGGCACACAGTGATGGGACTACCAGTGGCTTGTGATCATGGTGTTTGTGTGTGTGTGTGTGTGTGTGTGTGTGTGGACTGGTGTTCTCGAAGGACCAGCGATTTGTCCACTACACCTCAGGTAGTCTTCCCTTCGCCATATATTTCAAATTCTCTCCCAAAAGGTCCAAACATAATCTCATGCTTTAGTCATTTCCCAATAATCTCTCCCTCAGTGTCTGAGAGCTGCAGTCTCGCTCATCTTTTCAAAATCATACATTTCAATGGAAACTGAAACTAATATTTAGGCGGGTGAAGTTCGCCTTGCAGGGCATCTCACACGCTCCTCAAACATAACCAGAGCTGCTCAACATTAGCGCACAGTCTAGTTGGTATCTGGGTTCTCATTGTCAGCAAGCAATGTCTCTTGGCTTCAATGAGTCTTACAGGCAGAGCTGATGGTTCATCATGTGGGGGACTTTACAGAGTGTGTATGTTTAAGACAGTGGTAGTTTGTGTGTGTGTTACAGTGGAAGTTTAGTTTGTGTGTGTGTGTGTGTGACAGAGGCAGTCTCTTCCTCAGTGCCCTGAGGGCATCTAGGCTCAGCGCAACCTGTGTTATCCATTCAAAACAAAACAGAACAGTGTGTTTTAGTCCAGTTTGCCTTCACTTCAAGTTTGGTTGTTTTCCCTGGGGACTATTCCCCTGACATAGGAGTGGCTGTATCCTCTGTTCTCAGCATGACAGACTTAAAAAGGAGAGAAAAAAGAAAATGTTCCTCTTCCTATTTTATTCTCCTTTTCATTCCTCTATCCTTGGGATCATGACCTGCAGAGGGAACATAGTGGAGGATGGTGGTTAGAATTAGAACTATTGTTAATTGTCTCTGAGGATCCTAGAACTGTTGTGTGAACTATCGTGAGCTGAAAATTATTAACACAACCTCGCACAGCTGCCTGCCTGTCTGTCAGAGCCGAACGTCCATAACCAGCTTTCTCAGGTTGGGTCTAGGAAGTATGACAACGTGCGACCAGGTAGTGTTTATGGCTCTGATGCCTGTGGGCAAAGTTTGCCATCTAGTGGTTATTGGTGGCATTACACAGCAATTCCAATTCATGACGACCAGTCAAGTCCACATAATAATAATAATAATAATAATATGCCATTTAGCAGACGCTTTTATCCAAAGCGACTTACAGTCATGCGTGCATACATTTTTGTGTATGGGTGGTCCCGGGGATCGAACCCACTACCTTGGCGTTACAAGCGCCGTGCTCTACCAGCTGAGCTACAGAGGACCACGACAATACATACCACACAACAGATAAGTACTTTACGAAACCAGCTTACTAACACAGTATAACAGAACCAGAATGGAGAGAGCAGTGAAGCTCACCTGTCTCGTCCCCAGCAGCCGGCCTGTTGTTCCTGTGCGTCCAGCAGCAGTCTGCGACCCTCCTCGTAGTCATCCTGGTCCACACTGATCAGCAGCCGGACCCCCTCACTCCCCGCCGCCCTCCGCAGAGAGTCTGTGATGAACACCCCCTTCAGGGCCTCTAGCAGCGCTCCACTCAGATAGTCCCCCCAGAAGGCCTCCAGGTTGTCCAGCTCAGTGAACTTGATGTCGCAGATGATGGAGCCCAGGTCGCGGGCGCGCAGCACGGAGGTGGCACGACTGAACAGCTCAAACTGCCGCTCCAGGGGCTGCTGCTTGTCCGAGGAGACGCCGCCGCGCAGGGCCGACTCGTGCTCCCAGTACTCTGCTCGCACGCGCAGACGGATGTCTGCAGGGAGGGGAGAGGGGATGGAGGGAGAGGGGATGGAGGGAGGGAGGTAGGGGAAGAGTGAAGGGAGGAAAGGGGACAGAGAGAGAGCGAGTAGAGGAATGGGTAGAAGAGGGAGGGAGGGTGGTGGAGGGGAAGGGGAGGGGAGGAGAGAAGAGGAGGGGTAGATGTAGAGGAGGGAAAAGAGGTGATTTTAGGGTGCAAAGAGGTGAAGAATATATTCAAAAAGGGAGAGAGGAGGGAAATGGTGGAAGCAGCAGATTGAGTGGGATAAGACGTCATGTACACGTGAGAGTGAAAATCAAATGGGAGAAGGAGGTTGGGATCATTGAGTCAGAACAAAGGGAAGAGAGAGATAGAGGGACAAAAATACAAAATAAAATAAGAAAACTTTTCAAATAAAGCCGTAATCACAGAATATTCTCCAAAGAATTGGCAAGAACAGGCTATGGGAGGGGTGATAGAAAAGTAAAGAATATTTACTACATTCAACAGGACTGTATCTGACATTAAAAACTAGTGATTAGAGTAGGAGACAACATAGAAATACTTACTGGTGTATCATTAACTAGAGTTGATAACAAAAGTGTGTCTACAAGAGTGATACAATAGGTGAGGAAAGGCAGGACAGAACTGAAGACAGCTGTGGAGCACAGAGGTGAATGTAATACCAACCAGGCAGTCTTCCATCACTAACAGTGGGTACAAATATGACCTGGTCGGGTCAAGAAGAGCATCACTGAGGATTTACTGTATGACTAACCTGATTTATTTTTCACAAACCCCACTACCAAGAGCTGTTGTTGTAGTACTAGAGTGAAATCAGTGGGAATCTGATGGATAACAAGCATATTCATTAGGGAAGCTCAACACCACACCACTCTGTGCAGTTCTAATAGTCCCCCACCCATCATTATTCGCCCAGAAGATTTCAGCCAGCCACTGTAATCTACACAAAACCTCTACGCACTGAAAGCTAGGTAAAGTTAGCTATAACTTTAACTATGCAATCCATTTCTCTGAGTAATTACAAAGCTTGTTACACTGTAATTACAGTAATAATTACATTTATAGGTGGCACAAAACAGGCATAAATAAAATGCTACTTGTTAGGATTGTAGGATTTTGTTGGGACATTAACACTGTAAAACAGCCCTTGGGATGGATAGAAACCTTTCATAGTAACATGTTTTTGTTCTGTTTCAGAAACAGGAGGATTAGCGGTCATGCAGCAACAGCACAGTGAGATGGGTCAGAGGATACATACTGTACTGAACAAGGCAAGCGGACCTCTGTCTCATCCTCCTCTACTGCCATTATTCACCAAGCTCCGAGCAGAACCGGCGGCCTTCCGACTTTGCTGCAACAAAAATTCCAAACCTTCCCAGTCCCACACTACCCCACCCCACCAGAGATGTGCATAGATTGGGAAACTTTGTTTGAGATACATTCGTTTCACTGCACCATGTTGGCACCAAACGTTCCAAGAAAATATTATTCAAATTAGAATATTATTGTCAAAGAATGTTTGTTGCCAACATGGAGGATAGTTTGTCAAACTGTATATCTGGATTGACCCCACCCACCTTGCCCTCCCCAACTTCATATAACAGAAAACAAAGGAATGATAAAGAGTAGAACTGTTTTTAAAAGAGTGAGAGAATGAATATGGAACAGAAAGGACAGAAAGGATGAGGGGACCAGAGGTCCAAAAACCTCACATTGAAAATAAGACAACAGTCTTGGATCTCAGAACACGTGTGGATGTGAATAAGAGTGAAAGCTATGTGTACTGCACACAGGGAACTGGGTACCTACACATCTCTTGGTCTCTGAAGACACTGAGCCAGGTTTGGGTAAAGGAGAAACTGACAAATAGTTGATTCCTCTAACGAGGACACAAAGAACAGAACCAGACAATTTAAAAGGGAAAGATTCAACTGGAATGTTGTACCAAATGACTGTGCCTTAGAATTAAAGGCATTGATTATGAATTTCTTAACATTTGTAAGAGGGAAAACCAAACACTGGTTCCTTCTTTCTTTGCTTTATAAAGGTTGTAATGAAGAGGCTATACAAACACTTACTACTTGGACCATTGGAGAGGTTAGACATCCTCAGGTTAGACAGAGCTTCTAAATTTACTGCCAACATTGAAAACATGCTCTGACGTACAACACAGGGTAACAAAAATGTATCTTAAGATCAACTGCAAGTAGATTTGTTGATAACTAATATATGTCTTATATCACATCAGGCCAAATATGATAATCATGACCATATTTCATGAAGTTCAACTGTTAGTTTGCACACAAAGAAATCGGATACAGAAGGTGTTTGAAATGTTTTTTTTTTCTTCCAGGAGGCAAAGTTATGGTACAAGGAACATTTCTGTCTCTATTGATAGAGCAGCTCTTAGGACATTTGTCAATGAGTTTGATAGAGAACAATAAGAGGCACACAGCATACAGCCCCATAATCTGACATGTTGTCAAAAACAGTTCAAGGGTTGCCTTCACTCATCACTACTCCAACGTCTCACCAACGTCTCCACATTGTTATTCTGGGGAGATTTTTCTGCATGTAAAATCATGAATCATTTCAGGAAATAGAGATACCGCTAGTCTAATTTGTCAATTTGTGGCCATTTTGTATCAGAAAATACATGGTTTGTCCCTAAGGCAGTGTTTCCCAAACTCAACCCAGGGGACTCCAAGGGGTGCACATTTTTTTTTTGCCCGAGCACTACACAGCTGATACAAATAACCAAAGCTTGATGATGAGTTGATTATTTGAATGAGCCATGTAGTGCTAGGGCAAAAACCAAAACGTGCACCCCTTGGAGTCCCCTGGATTGAGTTTGGGAAACCCTGCCCTAGGGGATACATTTATCTCTCCCTGCCAGCAGGGTGTCAAATCAACTACAACAGGATGTGCTGCGGACTAAGCGCTGTACTGCTCTGAGAGGAAACTGTCACTGAAAGTCAGCTTCAAACCAATAACATCTGAAAGTTACCAGGACTGCATAATACCCCTGTCAATTGTCAATATGGTAAAACATGTCAGCTAAATCATAAACTGAGTAAAACTGTAACAATTGTGCGCTTTTGCAATGTACAAGTCTAGCGACATGGGTCATTATACTGTGTGGGGACTGTGACATCAACACCTACTACACAATGTCCCCACACTGTTAAATGACTGCTCCTTCCTCCCTACTTGTGAAACATGGCCTTGTTGAGAGCGACAAGGAAAGGAAGGCCCTTTAAAACAATGGGAACATAGTGATGGTAATTTTGTTAAGGTTACAGAGTACTTTACGCTTCATCAGACAGATAGATCCATTTAGACAGAACATTAATTTTCTGCCTTTAAACAAAGACTTGGTTAGGTTTTCTCCATTTCACCCCACAGAAAAGTACCCATTTACAAGGAGTCACTTGGTGCGAAGAGCTTCAACTCTTTATCGATCCGTTTTTCTGCTGAACGACAGACCAAGAGAGGGAGGGAGAGAGAGGGGTCGGGGTAGAGAGAGACAGGTAGATAGACCTCTCTCTATTCTCCTTTGACCAAAGCTCTCTCTTTCTTTTTTTGGTTTGTGTGGTTTGAGCGTTTAGTGTTCGTTCTCTCCCTCTCAGTGTGTGTGAGAGGATGTTTTTTCCTGACACACGAGGCGGTCTGTTTTGAACTGCGAACATAGAGAAAGGAGAGAAAGAGAGAGAAAGAGACAAGCACAGTTGGATTGGATATCTGTCAATTGGGTTGTTTCTCAAGATCAAGCAGGCAAGGTTAACACTGGTTCAAAGGCAATCACTTGGGAGTTTGAATTGTTTTTGATGCCTCCAAGTCCACTGTATAACATTACGGCTTACGTGGACAGTTTTACGTCGCTTCTAATTGGAGGTTACAGTTTGGTATAAGAAATTGTAACCACAAATAACTGAAATACTGTAACTGAAACGCTTGAACTGATTATGTGAAAACAAACTGATTGGTAAGATAGTAGAGGTAGTAATGGGTTTGGTCTGAATGCTGTGAGGCAGCATTGGACTGGACTGCCCCATCTATCTCTGCTCACCTCCCCACACTGGGAGCTCATACAGGGGTCAGAGATGAGATACAGCATGCGGTTACACAGCCCTTAACACAACACTGTTGGGTCATTTTCCTCAGAACTGCTCGAACAAAGGTTCCAGAGAAGATGTCGGCGGCCATTTTCTGTTCATATACGGATAGAATTCCAGTTCAGACTGACAAGAGGACTGAGATCAATGGAACTCAGACCAGTTTGACATTTTTTAATTGAGATTCCAGAATGGATTTGGTCTCTTTTTGTTTTAGTAAACCATAATCAGTTGGATCGTTTGAATTCGGAAAAAGGTATTTGTGATCACTGACCAGAGGTATCTACTGAGGTTGATGCCACAAGAACCATTGGGACTCAGTTAAAAGGCTCCATTTGAATGGCTGCTTTAGAAGAGTAGTTCACCCCAAAACTAAAGTTTATCAGATGTTTTCATTATGCATGTAGTGGGATATACACTAAACAGTGTGGAATGTGCACTCAGTTATCACTTTTGAGGAAAACAGCTGTCAAACTTTGGCTTTGAAGTGAACTACCCCTTTAAGAACAGTTTTTTTCAGGTCAGTTTGAGCTTTGAGTCATTTGGAGAGTCAGAGCATGGTATTCAGAAGAGGGGTCAGGTTCAAGGTCGCATTATGGTGATTAAGAAACTTCTGGAATATTTCCGAGGACTCTTTGGTCAGTTCTGTGAAACACTGAGGCCAACACCCCTCTTTAGAGTAATAGACACACACAAAAAAACACTTTGTGGAGAGTATACAGTTTTTTTTCTGAATGGGGTAAGGAGGAAGAGGATAGCTAGAATAATACACAGGCATTGAACACAGAGCATAGTGGCAGCCCCCCCTCGTTCGGAGGGGGAGGGCCTCTTTACCTTGGGCATCGGGCCAGACTGACGAGAGAGCGAGCGATTGAGGTGAGCACACACTGCAGATCGTACGGACAGAGTGAAAGGCCAGACCATACTTTTTTTTTTGTCCAGCCTTTCTCTCCGCTCTCTAGGTCCGCTCTCTAGGTTACTCGATCTGAGTCACAATCCTGAGTCAACCTGGTGGGGATCAAATGCGGAGTCAAGACAGCAACATGTTCAGAGGCAAAGCAACAACACTGTATGGTACATGGCTGGGACTGGGAGGGCAAGGCTACTGCAGAAGGCAAGGGGCAGGTATCCCTTGGTGGATTGTTTTGGGTTTGATCATAGCACTTAGTGCAGTTGGTTTAGAGAAGGCTGTTCTGATCGACTGGGACAAAACGGCACATTTGAAAGGGTTGCAGTGTTATATTTGAGCAGTACGAAGCCAGTGTAAAATCATAAGAATCTTTGTCTCCCTGAAGAAGAGACTTCATGGATTGCGAAAAGTTGTTAAAATCAGATCATGTTGATAAATAAGCAGTATCACTCATCAGTACGTGTCAGGCTGTGGGAGTGGCTGTGTCTGGGATAGCCATAGTAAGAGGGGTTTAGTTGGCTGTCAGGTAGGCTAAGTACAGCAACAGAACTGGAAGGGCTAAGAGCCTATTGACCTGGGCCCGGTTTCCCAATAGCAATTGAACTTAGGCTTATGAGTGTTTTAACGATGCATCTTTCCTACAACGGCCGAAGATGTAACATGCGTTTCCCAAAACACCATGCAGAGAGAGCGTTCGCTAAGTGCGTCGTTGAGGCATGTGTCGATACTGATAGAACTGATAGTATCGAAAGAAAGGCAATGCTGCTCTCGGATCAGCTTTCTCCATTCAAATCTTACCTTAACAACATTAGAATTATTCCACAATACTGACGACGGATCAGCTCCTAGAAGCTTATCACCTATGGCTGCAAATATTGAGGCGGCTTATTCTAATCCTTACCCGAAAATAATGCACTAAATCAAGATTTGGCACATCTTTGCACACATTAGGCGACACAGCATTAAATATATTGAGACAAATTACAGACTGTAGCCTACAAGTAGCAAAATTGAACTCAATAAAAGATTGAAGCCTACTGTATTTATATTTTCATGTAGACATCTCCGTTTTAATTTGAAGCATCTTTTTATACGCCGCTTGTTTGTATCAATTGCAAAGACATTGGCAACTTTGTTCTGAAGTTATCAGCGGTCACAGAGAGGCTGATGAACCATGTGATTCTATGTTTAGCGGAGCTCTTCTGTGTATAAAGTGACGTGGGAGGGCAAATAAAGCATCTAACGACCCATTTAGCTGTTCTATGAGTGGTCTGAGGCAGGCGTTAGATAACGAGTGTTTTCAAGTGTAACGTTAATAACGGTTTTGGGAAACAGCTCTGAGATTTAATGATGCTCCTACGAAGATTCAAACGATAAACTTAGCTTTAAGATGCTTTTGGGAAACCAGTCCCTGGTCTGGGAAGATGTCAGCAAGGCAAGTGTGAGGCTATCAATTCAACTCATATGTTCAGTACACATTCAGAAATTCAGCGGGACTTTCTCTAAACTTTATCTTAGGGATAGGATAAGACAGACAGTCCTACCAACATAAAAGACAGGAGACCTACCAGGCAGGGTTCTTAAGAACAGGAGCTGAAAAAAACTGGGGTAAGTGAGAGAGAGGGAGATGAAAAGAGAGAGAAAGAAAGAAAAATGGAGAAAGGGATAGGGACTCTCTCTTTTTGGAGCACAAGCAGTAGTTATGTAGCCTGGCTACCAGTCTGTTTGAGATATCATTCCACTCCTTGTCATGCAAAATGAGTGACAAGGAGTGGCATGATCGCATAAACATTTCTGGGATCAGGCTAGTGGTTATGCTATATGAAGAAGAAAGACAAGCTCAGTTGACAAACGTATAGTGGATGTATAAAGTGAAAGAGAGTATAGAAGACAATAAACCACCTAACTCTCCTTCCCTGGGCTTCAGTCTGGACCACAGGCTAGTTCTTACTAGGCAGCATTCCAACCAAGTATCTTTCAGATGTGTGGCAGCTATGGTATGTAGGCCTAAATCATACATTTTCCCCACAAGTATTCAGTCACAAAAGAGCAAGGCAGCTTAACATTATTTTGGTCTGTACCGAACAGACTAAATTGCTCTTTTTAACAAGTTTGTGGGTTGACGCCGAAATGTCACATTGAAACATAACGCGCTTGTGTGTTAACGTTGAATGCCACATTGAAATGCCATGTCCTACTACTACACTAAGCCTGCTGTGCTGTGTGGAGCTCAGACAGAAACGCTGACTCACATTGGGTGTGTGAATCCCTCTCAGGGTGCATCTCAATAGTCTAAAGAGGCTTACTCCCATTGTTTCATCCCTTTATCTGAATATCCACCTATCTGAATGGACAGGTAGAAGGAAAGTAATAAGGCTGGATGCTTATTTAATTTGAGACACTAGTGGGTAATGGTGAAGACAATGTCTGGAATAGGCCTAGTATATTTGATAGATGGGAGTTGTAGGCGACTCAACCCAATTCCCCTCTCCACGCTACGGTCATCACCAAACAACAGATCAGAGAGATTTCATTTCATTCAGTTCCGTGGAGCTCAATGACGCTTTTTCAGGTTGTTGTTTTTCGCTTGGCCGTGCAAGCAGACTATCCTTGTGCGGACGTCTACAGAATCCCTCCATTGTGAGGATGTTAGCGTGCCAGGGAGCACACAAAGACCCCGGAGTGTGTAAAACGCTGTCTGAAACCCTGGTGATGGTGATTGAGTGCGAGACAGTTTCACCACCATGGAGAGCATATGATGACCAGGATGAGGGGTTACGTCAGGTCAAACACAGCCAGTCAGTATGGGTTGTATTTACTGATGAGCAGTCACTCACTCACACAGGCTCTGCTCTCACAGTATTGTTACAGCACAGCCCACTCAGTTCAACATGCCTGCAGGGTAGTATTGATCTCCCAGGAGGCCCACGCAAACCATTCTCAAACCAGCGAGGGTGGGACGGTTAGCTTATGGTCAGGGTATAAGCTGAGCAGAGGGAGTGAAACTGAAGTCGATATCTCATGTGAGGACATGAACACACCACTGACTGACATGGATTTAAGGTTGCTTGATAAGGACATATTAAGTTCAAAATTACTGGTGAGACACAAGGTGGTGACTGGGACATTCTGATATGGCAGAGAGATGTTTAGTATCATCACTGTTATTAAAGGCTGTTGGGGTGATGGTGCTTACAGCTTCTCATCAGAAGTGAGATAGAAAATGGATGTAAGCCAGAGAGAGAGAGACTCAGACATGTATAATGGCAAGAGAGGAACCCAGAGAGAGTGTGGTGAATGAGCATGTGGGTTAAAGAGAGAGATGGAAAGAAAATAGAGAAAGAGAGATGGAAGGGAAACTACAGAGAAAGGGAAAGGCTGGTCTTACCGCAGGTCACTTTCTCAGGTACAGGTGGGGGAGGCGTTTCGGGGATGCCCACTTTTCTCCTGTGGGCGGGGGGCTTGTTGGTCCAGCGGCGGCCTTTACCCCTCTTCTTCCGTAGGGTGGCGGGCGCTGGCCTGGCAGGGTCAACACCTATTGGACAGACACACAAACCAGCCAATCAGCAATGCTTAACTGGTGAAAATCCAGACAATTTCAGGAAACAGTTATTGACATTTCTTAGAGACAAGTTCAGGCATGCACAGATTGTGCTGGAGTGTAGCTTACCCCCCCTCCATTGCTGTGTTGTGTGTTCGTCAGGTGATTCTGTCTGTGCACAGGGGTCAGTCAGTCCAGATGTGCAAACCTGTCTTCTGTCCTCTGTCCCGTAGTCCACTCTGAAACGTTCTGGTGATACTGACAGGCAGATAACACACAGCTGTGAGAAGTAGGCCTACAGGTGATTATGACAACATTATCTCTATTAGTGCATGTTGGCTTCCAGTTATGAACAGCACTCTGTTACAGTCCTTTACCTGTCCTCCTTTTCTTGCGAGACACCAAAGGCAGGAGGTCGTGTCGCGTCAGGACTCGCAGCAGCTGCAACAGGGGCTCCAGGTTGCCCTCACTGAGGTACCCACGTCTCTCCAGCTCCAGCAGCAGTTCTAGCCCACTCTTGGGCTTGTGGCGGGCAGCGGTAGGACAGGCCAAGGCAGGACCCTTGGGCTGTAACCGCCGCCAGGCCTCCAGGAGCACTGGGCTGGGGGAGACTCCTTTACTGGCCTCAGGGTCCTCCTCACTGGGCTCGCTGGTCCAGCCAGCTGGGTCCAAGGGATGCCCTCCAGCCGGATAGGTCTCATCCAAGAGGAACGACAGCACTTCAACGTCTGTCTCTGTCAGTTGAGAACCGACAACTTCAAACATCTCGTGTAGAGAGAGCATCCCATAGTATGTCAGGCACTCAGTCTCATCCCAGTACAGACAGTCTCGGAGAGAGTACCTTGGACGACGCATGGTTGCCATGGTTAACAAGCTAGCTGGCTATCCTTTCCCAATGCACCTTGGCCAGACGTTTCTATGTGATAAGAATACATTTCATTAGACAATGTGAGTAGCAATGAAGTAATGAGTAAAAATGTCAAACTAAACATAAAAGGAGGACAGGATAGGTTTATCAGGTTATCAAATAACAAGCCAGCCAGCAGTCACAACGCGTATGGACCATAAGATATTGACATGAACAGTTACAGGCTTTAAAATGCAAGCAACGGTCTAATAATAAGCAATGTGGAGGTGTGAAATACAAAGCTACTTCGTTTTCGTTGTGGCTACGTTGCAGAACTCGAGATCTCGTCAAGCCACCACACCTTGCAAGTGCAAACTGTGTTGACAGTGCAACAAATTACGTTACGTAATCAGTCACTTTCCACAACAACAAAAAAACGGCACAATTTCGATTGACAGCCCTTGAAAACGGTCCAAAATAGAGATGGTCTCTCATACATAGCTACCGTTGTCTCGATTTGATAACAAGCTAGATGGAAACGTCAAAATAATTAGTTGCAGCTGGAGGAACCATTTGGGTAGCTAGCTAGCTAACGTTAGCTACGAAATGATCGCTAGCTAGCAACAACAACAGCTAACTATACCATGAAAATGAATCAAGACAATCAAATACATGTAAAGACTAAAAATGCGTTAATTAATTGTCAAGCTAATATTGTTAATCATTGCAACAAGCTAAATAATGTGTTATTTTGTGAAACTCACCTTCGTTGTTCGACGATGGTCAATGTTGTCAATACAGTTGGGGTGTATTCATTAGTCAGATTCGGTTGTAAACCGTTTTGTCTGTTGCAAAACGGAAACCGTGTACCGTTTACTCTAGGAAGCAAACAGAAAAAATGGAACAGAAACGGAACGAAGCGGGGATGGACATGCCTGAATTTGTCCAATAGAAACTCTCGTTTTCGTTGCAAAACGTTTAGCAACAGACAAAACGTTTTGCAACAGAATCAACTAATGGATATGCCTCGTCTCTCAGGCAGAGTTGGCAGTAGACCAACAACAAGCATTAACCAATCACTGCACTTACTTTGTATGACGTGTTGGCAGTGATCTACCGCCATGATGAGGAGGGCAAAGGTGGGTAGGTAGCGAAGAGACGAAGATCATGCCATAGTCAGGCCTACTCATTTTATACATGAAGAATGTGAATGAGGCATTATTGCAGATTCAGACCATATAGTGACCCATCAGATACATTTTTCCGGAATATCTAATAAATATCCCCTCATGTACATCTTGTTTTCACCTTGTACTATGACCAGCACCGCTATGCTATTGCCACAAGAAAGCCCCCTCATGTATTAATGCTTTATTTTTGGGGAGGATTTTAAGGCTACATATAAATGTGTTCTGTGTATGTGTGTGTCTATATGGCTGTGCTGACCGTATGAGCCCTGGGCTCTCACAGATCCATCTGAACATGATGCTGCAGGTCTCTTCTCTCCAGCTCCGAGAAGGGTTGGTGTCTCTGAGGGTGCAGGCACTGGGCTCCCCTCACACTCACAGCACTGGGCTCTTTCTACCTGGGCTCTTTCTAATGTCTCAACAGAGATACATTGATTTTCTATACATCCAATGCCCATAATCTATGCGTATTATATCCCGTATTATTACCAGAGTAAAGATTGTCTTGGGGCCCAACCACCTGGCACCATAGATCTAACCCACCTCTGTGCATCTCCAATACAATGTCTCTCAACTGTTCCTCTAGACTGTGAATGACCACCAGGTCTCCGCCCTGTTGAACACAGTCGACCCGACCGCTGCTCCAGCTCCTCCTCTAAGTGGAGAAGAAGTAACACCTGGAGGAGAAAATCTTCCAGCCCTTAAGACAAGGTTTGCAGACTCTCTCTGTGTGAGGCGATGATGTACACAAACACGCGCACACACGCACACACACCCATAAGAACACATTCATGCACATTGCACACACACATGCACAAACATACAGAAACTCACGTACACACTAATAACATATGCATGCACATTGCACACACACACAAACACACACAGTACATAGTACATAGATATAGAAGGAGGACAGATAAATCAAGAGACTGCTGACACTGGGTGATCTGGTCTCTGAGTGGACAGTGTCGGTCCACAGGCAGGAAGTTGACCAGCTCTGTAAGCATCTTCTGAAGGGAATCCCTATCCCTCACTGTGACAACAAAGTCCCTGTTCAAAATGGCCTCAGTTTCAGAGAGACTTATGAGATATAACTGAAGTTTGTTTTTAAACTCTGTGACCCTCACATGCTCTCTCCTCAACTACGCAGCATCATCTGGATATGTGTGCAACAAAAGTTCAACATTTACCTTCTGCTACCATTTCTGTCAAGCCGTCTAGGTATAAAATTTGACGCATGCGTTCGATAAATCCAATGTATGCACCACACAGAACGCACTGCAACTGCCTCTGCAACGCAATGCTGCAAGGCAAACGAAGCGTTCCATTGGAACTGAATGTACTTCTGGTGTACCAAAATGCAATGACGCTGTCGGTGTGATCGAGGCGTTAAGCTGCACTGATGTTCAGGTGTTGTCTCTGTGACCGTTCCCTGGCTAATGTGAGCTCTTTTACCTCTCTCTGTAGTTGGAGTTTTAGATGCCGTCAGGTCTATATAGTTTTTTTTGCAATTGGTTGTTGGATGTCAGTAGGCCTTCATACTCTCTTTCTAATTGGTTATGAGAAGCAGCAAGGTCTCTGTGTTGCCTCTCTGACTGGTCCTTGGATGCGACACGTTACATGTAGCTGTTCATTTTCTGTAGCTCAGCTTGAGTTGAAGTCAAAGCATCATTTTGGCTCCAGAGCTGGTTCTTGGCTGTGAGGACAGTGTCGTCGTTGTCCCTCAGAAGCTGAAATTCTGCCTTCAGTAAGGTGCAACTGAGAGAAGCTGTGTAATCTGGTGAGATGGACACAAAGTGTGAGTGTTAACAATTAGTGTATAGTAGATTGTCTTAGTATATGCTGCCTTTAAGGTTATAGTGTGGCCCAGAGTCATGTATTTAGACATTCTAAATACATGGCTCTGGAGTGGCCTAGGCCCATAAGGATGTGATGAAGAATATGCCTATTGTGTCCTCCTGTAATTGTAGACCTGAGATGGTTAGGATTGATAAAAGCAGTATCCAGGGGAAACACTGACCTATTCCAATAAGAAGCATTATACAGCTCATTAATTGAAAATACAAGGTAGACTAGCTTTTTAAGAGCGTTAGGTCAGTAACCAAGGGGTTGCTGGTTCGAATCCTCGAGCCGGCAAGGTGGAAAAATCTGCCGTTCTGCCCTTGAGCAAGGCAATAAACCCTTTTTGGACGAAAAAAAAGGACAACAATTTGAAGCACCGAAGTCGCATTCCGTTCCAGTAGCTGGCGATAGTGCAAAATGGTTTGCCGCCGTGCTCAAAGGAACGCCCTCCTTTGACTGACTGTGTTCTATGTTTACCGCATACAGTGTTTACGTTATGTTGTTGCAAATGTACCTGTGATTCTCCGCTAGCAAGCTACCCAAGTTTTCTCCTGTAAAAATGTCAAAAATAGAGTTATTGAGAGTGTTTCTCAACCAGAGATTGATAATGGCAGCTGAGGAGATATTTGGCGTCGTCGAAGAAACGATAGCAGAGTACCAGGAAGAGAACAGCCGTCTACGTAGCATGCTGGATATCGTTATTAAACCAGATATACTATTACATAGAATAGGTGTGTGGCTGAGGCAGCTAGCTGTTATCTTTTAAACCTTCTTTGCATATGTCAAGTGATCAATGTCAATGTTAGTATCTAGCTAAATACCTAGCTACCTATCTAACTAGAATACTATTCGTGTCAACATTTTAGATGTTTTATTTCATTCTCTCTCCTTCCCTCCAGACATCCAACAGCCCACTATCCCTGTATCTGAAAAGAAGGCTCTCCCTGAGCAGCAGCACTGTGAGCAGGAGTGGAGCCCCAGTCTGGGGCAGGAAGACCCACATTACATACAGATAAAAGAGGAACCGGAGGAACTAGAGTCATCTTTGAAAAATGACTACCACCACCAGGACCTGACTCAGTCCTCACTTCTTTATGAAACCCAAAGTGAAGTCTATGAAGGGACATACTATCTTCCCAGCACCTCAACTGCACAGAGCAACTACTCTCTACACAGCACCTCAACTGAACAGAACATGATACAGCTCAAACCTGAACCTGATGCAGAAGACAATGGAGTATCAGAACCATCCAGTGAGTGTCAGCCCCTCTTTGAAGCAAATACAGAGTCTTCTGCAGCTCAGAGTGAAAACATGAAATGTGTCATTGGGGTAGAGAGTAGACCTCTGTCGGGGTCAAAGCCACTTAAATCAAAGAGATCACCATCAAAGAGATCACAGACAGTAAGAAAACAAAGTGCCTATATCCGCTGTAAATTTTGTGGAATGTATTTCTCCTACTTAGCTTCTTTAGTGAATCATGCAAGAAAGCATGCACAGGACAAAGAATGTCTATGTGGTGTGTGTGGAATACACTTAGAGTCCACAGAAAGTATGTTAGGTCATCTAGAAACCCATGTTGGAGCTAGAGTTTGTCATGTTTGTGGTACATTTTTCCCTGGGAGTGCTGAGCTGAATGATCATATGAAGGTTCACCCAGGGGAGAAATCATTTCGCTGTCCTGATTGTGGCAAGTGTTTCAGAAAAAATCCAGATCTCACAGCGCACAAGAGGATTCATACAGGGGAGAGACCATACCGCTGCCAGTTTTGTGGCAAAGGATTCAGTCAGAGTGGAAACCTAGCTGTGCATATGAAGAGCCACTCTGGGGAGAAACCACATCGCTGCCCTGTTTGTGGGAAATGTTTCAGCAGTAAATCTTATATGAACACACACATGAAGATTCACACAGGGGAGAGGCCATTTTGCTGTCGTGTTTGTGGAAAATGTTTCATAAGAAACCCTGATCTGACAGTCCACATGAGGACTCATACAGGGGTGAAACCATATAAGTGCCAGTTTTGTGGCCAAGGCTTCAAGCAGAATTATCACCGGAAACTGCACATGAAGAACCACATGGGAAAAACTATATCATTGCCATCTTTGTGACATGTATTTCATCACTAGCACCCAGTCAACCTGGCATGAGATTTCACATGGTAGAGAAATACACCACTGCCATGACTGACAGAGGCTTTGCATAGACTGGAAGTTTGGCAAGGCATAATGACAATGCACAAAATACTTTAGTGTAGAAAATACTGACAGTAGACCTTGTTTGTGATACATGTTTCACTTAGCCGCTTTATTGAGGAAAGTTTTTGATATGTGGTTGTTTTACCTGTTTTGAATGCACTGACTGTAAGTCGCTCTGCAAGAAGTCCAATTGACACAGGAGAGAAACTATATAATTGTGTTATTTAAAAAAAAAAACATACATAAGGCAATGATTTCTGCTAAATGCTTAAAATGGATGAACTCCCCTAGAAGGTACGAGAAGAAAATTCACATTAGGGAGAAAACATAATGACAACCCGACAAAAAACCTCATGACAACATGGCAGTCATCCTCTGTGTTGGGAGAGTCTTTCAGATAATACAAGAGGTACATTAAAACATCTCATTCCCTAAATCTACTGTCATTCTTTATTTATATAAAATATATCCCTACTCTTTCTTGAATTAATTGCAGACATGAGAATGTTGGATTGGTGATAGCAGTAGTGTGTATTATATTTTTTGCGTACTTTAGTGATCTAGGGAGGCAATGATTGATCTAAACTTCAGATTTGCCCCAGTAGTGCTGTAGCAGCGCCACCAGCTCTGCAGTCTACTACATGTAGGTCTATGTGCTGGGCAAGAATAGAAATGCACACACACTGGAGGACCTCCAAGAATAGATTGGAAAATACCTATTCAATCTGATCAATGATTATGAGTAGGATGAAGGACAAGAGATTAATTCATTTTGCCCAGTAATCGGTGTCCTCAAAAGCAGCACCGACTCTGGCGCCACCTGCAGGATCGCCACGACCTGCGCCTTCCGCTCCAGCAGGGGGCGACAGTGCAATATGTATTATGCCGTGCACGCAAAGACTGACAGCTCTCTTTCTCTTATTGACTTTGTTTACGTTGGAAGCTAGCTGGCTAACTTAGCTAGCCAAACAGCTTTCCTTCAACAACAAAAAAATGTCTAAAATAGAGTTCTTGAGAGTGTTTCTCAACCAGAAATTGATAGCGGCAGCTGAGGAGATATTTGGTGTCGTTGAAGAAACGATAGCAGAGTACCAGGAAGAGGTTTCTCGCACAAAGGAGGAGAACAGGCATCTACGGAGCATGCTGGATGTCCGGACTAAGACAGATATCAAGTTACATAGTCAAGCAGGTGTGTGTTTGTTTTTTCAACATTAATTTAATATGAGACATGTTAAGCTATCAATATGTATTTACTTTTTGAGAGTGTATCTAGCTAGTTACAAAACCAATGTCTGTAAGAAGATGATTCTTGTAAACCTCGCTAACTACGTCAAGTCAGCTCATTAGTTTTCTATTTCATCCCTCTCTCCTCCCCAGACCTCCAGCAGCTCACTGTCACCGTGTCTGATGAGGTGATTTCCCCTGAGCAGCAGGAGTGGAGCCCCAGTCTGGGGCAGAAGGACCCAGAACCCACACAGATGAAAGATGAACAGGAGGAACCAAGGACCAGTCAGGAGGATGAGAATCATGTCAATGAGTTTATCAATTGTTACGGCTGTGTATCAAGTGGCTATTATCAAGACCCAACTCAGTCCTCACATGGAGAGAGATACTCTCTACCCAGCACCTCAACTGAACAGATCAAAACAGAACCTTATGTAGAAGACTATGGCGTATCAGAACCAACCAGAGAGTCTCAGTCCTTCTCTGCAGTAGATACAGAGTGTTCTGCAGCTCAGAGTGAAAACAGAGGACATATTGACAGGATGGAGAGTGGAGGACCTCTGTCAGGTCTAACATTAAAGCCACTCAAATCAAAGAGAACAAAGACGGTAGAAGGACAAAGTTCTCACATCAGTGTTAAGGACAGGAAATTGAACCATCTAAAATCACACTCGAGACCCAGTGTAAGCTGGGATGCTGCTCCTAGTTGTAAGGTATGTGGAAAGCAATTTGACTCCATGGCTTCTTTATTAAATCATGTGCAAACGCACGCACAGGATAAAGAACATCTTTGTGGTGTGTGTGGAAAATTCTGTCAGTCCACAGAAAGTATGATAGATCACCTACAAACTCACATCGGAGCAAAGTGTTGTCATGTTTGTGGTAAATATTTTGCTTGGGATGCTTTTCTGAAAAGGCATTTGAGGAGTCACACAGGGGAGAAGCCGTTTCGCTGTCATGATTGTGGCAAAGGATTTACTCAGCGCGGACACCTAAACTTACATATGAGAAGCCACACAGGGGAGAAACCACATCAATGCCAGGATTGTGGCAAAGGATTCAGTCAGAGTGGAAACCTGGCAGTGCATATGAAGAGCCACTCTGGGGAGAAACCACATCACTGCCCTGTTTGTGGCAAATGTTTCATAAGAAACCCTGATCTGACAGTGCACATGAGGACTCATACAGGGGTGAAACCATATAAGTGCCAGTTTTGTGGCCAAGGATTCAAGCAGAATTATCACCTGAAACTGCACATGAAGATCCACATGGAAAAAAACATATCATTGCCATCTTTGTGACATGTATTTCATCACTAGCACCCAGTCAACCTGGCATGAGATTTCACATGGTAGAGAAAGGCATCACTGCCATGACTGACAGAGGCTTTGCATAGACTGGAAGTTTGGCAAGGCATAATGACAATGCACAAAATACTTTAGTGTAGAAAATACTGACAGTAGACCTTGTTTGTGATACATGTTTCACTCAGCAGCTTTATTGAGGAACGTTTTTACTCGCAGTGACTGTTCATATGTGGTAGTTTTACCTGTTTTGAATGTACAGTCGTGGTCAAAAGTTTTGAGAATGACACATGTATTGGTCTTCACAAAGTTTGCTGCTTCAGTGTTTTTAGATATTTTTGTCAGATGTTACTATGGTATACTGAAGTATAATTACAAGCATTCCATAAGTGTCAAAGGCTTTTATTGACAATTACATTAAGTTTATGCAAAGAGACAATATTTGCAGTGTTGACCCTTCTTTTTCAAGACCTCTGCAATCCTGGCATGCTGTCAATTAAGATCTGGGCCACATCCTGACTGATGGCAGCCCATTCTTGCATAATCAATGCTTGGAGTTTGTCAGAATTTGTGGGTTTTTGTTTGTCCACCGCCTCTTGAGGATTGACCACAAGTTCTCAATGGGATTAAGGTCTGTGGAGTTTCCTGGCCATGGACCCAACATTTCGATGTTTTGTTCCCTGAGCCACTTAGTTATCACTTTTGCCTTATGGCAAGGTGCTCCATCATGCTGGAAAAGGCATTGTTCGTCACCAAACTGTTCTTGGATGGTTGGGAGTAAGTCGCTCTGGGTAAGAGTGTCAACTAAATTACCTAAATGCAAAAACAGTACTCCAACAGTCCAATTGACACAGAAGAGAAACCATATACTTGTGTTATTAAAAAAAAACATACATAATGCAATGATTGCTGCTAAATGCTTCAAATGGATGAACTCCCCTAGAAGGTACGAGAAGAAAATTCACATTAGGGAGAAAACATAATGACAACATGGCGGTTGTCCCCTGTGTTGGGAGAGTTTTTCAGACAATACAAGAGGTGCATTACAACATGTAATTTCCTGAATTTTTTATTCCTATGAAATACATCACTCCTCTCCCCTTCCTTTAATTAATTGCAGACATGAGAATGTTGGATTGGTGACAGTAGTAGTGTGTATTATATTTTTTGCGTACTTTAGTGATTTAGGGAGGCAACGATTGATCTAAACTTCAGATTTGCACCAGTAATGCTGTAGCAGCACCACCAGCTCTGCAGTCTACTACATGTAGGTCGATGCTGGGCTAGAATAAAAATGGACACACACTGGAGGACCTCCAAGAATAGATTGGGAAATACTTATTCAATCTGATCAATGATTAGTAGGAAAAAGGACGAGAGATTAATTAATTTTGCCCAGTAATCGTTGTCCTCTTCTCAAAAGTCACTGACCACCTTCCGGAGACACTTGAAACCCTACCTATTTAAGGAATACCTGGAATAGTATAAAAGTAATCCTTCTACCCCCCCCCCCCCCCCCCCCCCCCCATAAAAAAAAAAGTGGTTGTCCCACTGGCTATCATAAGTTGAATGCACCAATTTGTAAGTCGCTCTGTATAAGAGCGTCTGCTAAATGACGTAAAAGCAGAACAGACTCTGGTGCATACTGCAGGGGCGCCACGACCTGCGTCTTCCGCTCCAGCAGGGGGCGACAGTGCAAAATGTATTATGCCGTGCATGCACAAAGACTATATAATGACGAGATGCTCATGTCTCCGCCATCAAAATGGGAATGCAGGCGACAAGCTTTGGTCAAACATAAGCCAATAGAAACGCATTGGGCTTATTTTGGACAGATTTAGGCGAGAGTGAAACCTCTCGCTTAGCCTCAGCGCTCTTTATATTTTCGACTTTTGTTTACGTTGGTAGCTATCTAGCAAACGTTCCTTCTCTAAAAATGTCTAAAATAGAGTTATTGAGAATGTTTCTAAACCAGAGATTGATAGCGGCAGCTGAGGAGATATTTGGTGTCGTTGAAGAAACGATAGCAGAATACCAGGAAGAGGTTTCTCGCACAAAGGAGGAGAACAGCCGTCTACGGATCACGCTGGATATCCGTACTAAGCCAGAGATCAAGTTACATAGACGAGAAGGTGTTTGTATTTTCAACATTCATTTAATATGAGACACGATAAGCTATCAATGTAATAAAACATGTTGAAAGTGTAGATAGTTCCAATGTCTGTAAGATGATTACTCAATCTTAAACCCATCTAACAATTCTAGGGATATAACTTTTTTTTAAATGTTACCCGTAATCGTTCCCGAATGTTTGAGTGTCCAGTTTTTCGTTAGTTATGGAAACATTCTATCTATGTTAGCAAAAACCTTCTGAGAACACGTTTAGCATGTTTTGGTGTTAAAGTTAGGAGAATATTCCCTTAATGTCATACAGATCTTATCAAGAACGTGGTTACAATGTTCTCAGAATATACAATATTAATATTCTAGACACGTTTCATGGGAAGTTGCAAGTTCATGTGTCTGGTTTTCTGAGGGTCTGGAGAATATTCCAGCGACGTCCCATAAAATATACACAGGACATGTTCTAGTCACGTTTCATGGGAACATTTATGTGTATCAGTACATCGCCTGATTTGTCCGAAATAAACTTCCTCCCCCAACAAATCATTACACATCACACCTTGTTACTGTTGCCAAGCCCATCAAGGCCCTGATTGGTAATCCATTCACAGCTCTTTTTGTCTGTTGGCAAGGTTAGGGATACTCACACACAGTGCTTTTAACTTCCATATTTGACATACATGATTACATTGTGCATGTTGATTTATACAGTAATTATTATGCAATATGTCCTACATTTACATTTACGTCATTTAGCAGACGCTCTTATCCAGAGCGACTTACAAATAGGTGCATTCACCTTATAGTCAGTGGGATAAACACTTTACAATGGTTTTTTTTTTTTTTTAGGGGGGGGGGGGGGGGGGGGTAGAAGGATTACTTTATCCTATCCCAGGTATTCCTTAAAGAGGTGGGGTTTCAAATGTGTCCGGAAGGTGGTGAGTGACTCCGCTGTCCTGGCGTCGTGAGGGAGCTTGTTCCACCATTGGGGTGCCAGAGCAGCGAACAGTTGGGAGGAGAATGTGGCAAAGAGCTTCCTAGGGTTAGAGGCGGATGCTTGGAATTTAGAGTGGTAGAAAGTGGCCTTAGCAGCAGAAACAGATGAAGAAAATGTAGAGAGGAGGGAGTGAAAAGATGCCAGGTCTGCAGGGAGTCTAGTTTTCTTCCATTTCCGCTCAGCTGCCCGGAGCTCTGTTCTGTGAGCTCGCAATGAGTCATCAAGCCACGGAGCTGGAGGGGAGGACCGGGCCGGCCGGGAGGATAGGGGACATAGAGAGTCAAAGGATGCAGAAAGGGAGGAGAGGAGGGTTGAGGAGGCAGAATCAGGAGATTGGAGGGAGAAGGATTGAGCAGAGGGAAGAGATGATAGGATGGAAGAGGAGAGAGTAGCGGGAGAGAGAGAGCAAAGGTTGCGACGGCGCATTACCATCTGTGTAGGGGCAGAGTGAGTAGTGTTGGAGGAGAGGGAGAGAGAAAAGGATACAAAGTAGTGGTCGGAGACTTGGAGGGGAGTTGCAGTGAGATTAGTAGAAGAACAGCATCTAGTAAAGATGAGGTCAAGCGTATTGCCTGCCTTGTGAGTAGGGGGGGACGGTGAGAGGGTGAGGTCAAAGGAGGAGAGGAGTGGAAAGAAGGAGGCAGAGAGAACTGAGTCAAATGTAGACGTAGGGAGGTTGAAATCCCCCAGAACTGTGAGGGGTGAGCCATCCTCAGGAAAGGAACTTATCAAGGCGTCAAGCTCATTGATGAACTCTCCAAGGGAACCTGGAGGGCGATAGATGACAAGGATATTAAGCATAAATGGGCTAGTGACTGTGACAGCATGGAATTCAAATGAGGAGATAGACAGATGGGTCAGGGGAAAAATTAAGAATGTCCACTTGGGAGAGATGAGGATTCCTGTGCCACCACCCCGCTGACCAGATACTCTCGGGGTATGCGAGAACACATGGTCAGACGAGGAGAGAGCAGCAGGAGTAGCAGTGTTTTCAGTGGTAATCCATGTTTCCGTCAGCGCCAAGAAGTCGAGGGACTGGAGGGTAGCATAGGCTGGGATGAAGTCTGCCTTGTTGGCAGCAGAACGGCAGTTCCAGAGGCTGCCTGAGACCTGGAACTCCACGTGGGTCGTGCGTGCAGGGACCACCAGGTTAGAGAGGCAGCAGCCCCGCGGTGTGAGGTGTTTGTGTAGCCTGTGCGGAGAGGAGAGAACAGGGATAGGCAGAGGCATAGTTGACAGGCTGCAGCAGATGGCTACAATAATGCAGAGGAGATCGGAATAAAATGAACTAAACATCTGGGAAAGGAGAGAGCGGGGCCTCCCTCACCACAACTCCCAAATATAACTCTCCCAACTTCCACCTCAGAAACTATAATTGTTGTAAACTACAGCGGTTCAATGTTTTCTAGGAATAGACTAACCTAGTTTATTCAGCTAGCTAACTAGGTGCAGTATTATTCCGTGAAAAACGTCCGGGCACCTCGTCATAAGACGCCACAGCCAGCTAGCATGCCGGTCTCCAACAGCAGGGTTTAGCGCCAATACTCAGCCACAACAACCACCAGTGTATCAACATGCAAGCAGATCGTTCGTGTCCGTGTCTAACGTTGTGGGTTAGTCCCGACAGCTTGAGCGAGTCCGTCGTCAACTTATTCAGCCAGTTAGTTAGCTAGAATAGTTAGCAAACTAGCTAGCCATTGCTTTCAGACAAAGAAGAACCCCTCCTTTCACGGCACGAACACACAGAGAGAGCCAAACTAACGTTAACTAGTCACCCATGTCCCGAATTCCTTGAGCGACTCGGGCTATCAATATGTAAAAAACAAAACACAAGTGTAGGTTATGACTTACCCCTAGCAGCTACTGTTAGCTAGCCAAGTGCAAAGCTAGCCACTGAATTGACTCAGCCAGTTCGCGTCTGTTCGCTCGGTCGTTCCAGCTATTGTTTACAAGTAGCTACCCAGGTTGCAACAAGCTTGCTAATTTTCAAGCACAGTAGCCACTTGCTACCTAACGTTAACGGTTCAGACAATGAGGTTAGAAAACAGCTGAATGGTAGGCAATTATTATACAGGTAAAAGTCAGTAAATTAGAATATTTTGAAAAACTTGATTTATTTCAGTAATTGCATTCAAAAGGTGTAACTTGTACATTATATTTATTCATTGCACACAGACTGTTGCATTCAAATGTTTATTTCATTTAATTTTGATGATTTGAAGTGGCAACAAATGAAAATCCAAAATTCCGTGTGTCACAAAATTAGAATATTACTTAAGGCTAATACAAAAAAGGGATTTTTTAGAAATGTTGGCCAACTGAAAAGTATGAAAATGAAAAATATGAGCATGTACAATACTCAATACTTGGTTGGAGCTCCTTTTGCCTCAATTACTGCATTAATGCGGCGTGGCATGGAGTCGATGAGTTTCTGGCACTGCTCAGGTGTTATGAGAGCCCAGGTTGCTCTGATAGTGGCCTTCAACTCTTCTGCGTTGTTGGGTCTGGCATTCTGCATCTTCCTTTTCACAATACCCCACAGATTTTCTATGGGGCTAAGGTCAGGGGAGTTGGCTGGCCAATTTAGAACAGAAATACCATGGTCCGTAAACCAGGCACGGGTAGATTTTGCGCTGTGTGCAGGCGCCAAGTCCTGTTGGAACCTGAAATCTCCATCTCCATAGAGCAGGTCAGCAGCAGGAAGCATGAAGTGCTCTAAAACTTGCTGGTAGACGGCTGCGTTGACCCTTGATCTCAGGAAACAGAGTGGACCGACACCAGCAGATGACATGGCACCCCAAACCATCACTGATGGTGGAAACTTTACACTAGACTTCAGGCAACGTGGATCCTGTGCCTCTCCTGTCTTCCTCCAGACTCTGGGACCTCGATTTCCAAAGGAAATGCAAAATTTGCTTTCGTCAGAAAACATGACTTTAGACCACTCAGCAGCAGTCCAGCTCTTTTTTTCCTTAGCCCAGGTGAGACGCTTTTCGCGCTGTTTCTTGGTCAACAGTGGCTTGACACGAGGTATGCGGCAGTTGAAACCCATGTCTTTCAAGCGTCTCTTGGTGGTGGATCTTGAAGCCCTGACTCCAGCAGCTGTCCACTCCTTGTGAATCTCCCCCACATTTTTGAATGGGTTTTTTTTCACAATCTTGACTAGGGCGCGGTGATCCCTATCGCTTGTACACTTTTTCTGACCACAGTTTTTCCTTCCCTTTGCCTCTCTATTAATGTGTTTGGACACAGAGCTCTGAGAACAGCCAGCCTCTTCTGCAATAACCTTTTGTGTCTTTCCCTCCTTGTGCAATGTGTCGATGGTCGCCTTTTGGACAGCTGTCAAATCTGAAGTCTTCCCCATGTTTGTGTAGGCTTCAGAACTGGACTGAGAGACCATTTAAAGCCCTTTGCAGGTGTTTTGAGTTAATCAGCTGATTATTTTGTGGCACCAGGTGTCTTCAAAATGTAACCCTTACACAATATTCTAATTTTGTGACACACGGAATTTTGGATTTTCATTTGTTGCCACTTCAAATCATCAAAATTAAATGAAATAAACATTTGAATGCATCAGTCTGTGTGCAATGAATAAATATAATGTACAAGTTACACCTTTTGAATGCAATTACTGAAATAAATCAAGTTTTTCAAAATATTCTAATTTACTGACTTTTACCTGTATGTAATCACTGTAGGCAGCCAGCTGGCGTAATTACAGGCACTCTCAGGCGTGAAACAACTATACCGTTGCTAATAGCTACTCGCCAGCTAGTCCAGGTGGTGAGTTAGCTAGCTAGCTAGCTTCGTGCTACACCCGGCACCGCCGAATACAATACTAACCTACAATAATTACATACAATAACTACCCACAGCAACCCACGATACCTACCTACAATACCTAACTACAATCTAAATACATAGTTTAAGCCTGGGATTTGAACTTGCAACCTATTGGTTCACGTCATTCAGATCTTCCTGCTACGCCACCATGTCTGTGTGAGTTAATTTGACTATACTCTCATCATTGATTTTATTTACTTATTTCAACAATTTAAGGGATTTCTATATTGTCTAATGTTGGGTTGGCATATTAACCTGTTTTAATGGTACTCTTCAATCACTAGGATCAATACGTTTTTCTTGAGTATACTTTTAACAGAACTGAGAATTCCTGGAGATCTACCGTCCTGTAGGTTTTCACTCCAACCCTGTTCCTGGAGAGCTACTGTCCTGTAGGTTTTCACTCCAACCCTAATCTAGTGCACCTGATTCTTATAATTAGCTGGTGGATAAACTGAATCAGGTTAGTTACAACTGGGGTTGGAATGAAAACCTACAGGAAGATGTATTTTATTTAACCTTTATTTAACTAGGCAAGTCAGTTAAGAACAAATTGTTATTTACACTGACGGCCTACACCGGCCAAACCCGGACGACGCTGGGCCAATTGTGCGCTGCCCTATGGGACTCCCAAACACGGCCGGTTGTGATACAGCCTGGAATCAAACCAGGGGGTCTCTAGTGACGCCTCAAGCACTGAGACGCAGTGCCTTAGACCGCTGCGCCACTTGGGAGCCCTCCAGGAACAGGGTTGGAGAGTCCAGCCCTAGAGATAACCCTTATTGGGACAGTCGTTAGGGTGTTCGTCATTTGTGCTAGTGGCCTTGGTTTGAGACCCGCTAGAGGAGTCCACCTACTCTCACATTCTTAGCAATATAGGTTAGTCATTATTTGGCAACAGTTACAACACACCTGTGTTTGAAGTAAATCTCTGTTAAAAGTACACCCAAGAAAATATTTTATTGTTCATAGTGATTCAGAAGTATCATTAAAACAGGTTAATATGCTCCCAAAAAGTTGTGGTCACACATGTTTTTGCAACGCTCCCATGAAACATGTCTAGAACATTAATATCTTATGTTCTGAGAACATGGCAACCATGTTCTTTGTGTGTTTGGTGGGACATTGATGGAATATTCTCCTACCCAACAGAAAACTGGAGACATGAATGTTCTTGCAACATTCCCATGAAACATGTGTAGAACATTAATATCTTAAGTTCTGAGAACATGGTAACAATGTTCTTGGTATGTTCTATTTGACATTAAGGGAATGGTCTCTTGGAAACATTCCTTGCACATCCTGGGAACATTCCTATGAAAACGTTAGTTAATGACCTATTAAGGAAATATTCTCTAAAGTTGTGGGAACGTTTGTTAGCTGGGTATGTCAAGTCAGCTCTTGAGTTTTCTATTTCATCCCTCTCTCCTCCCCAGACCTCCAGCAGCTCACTGTCACCGTGTCTGATGAGGTGGTTTCCCCTGAGCAGCAGGAGTGGAGCCCCAGTCTGGGGCAGAAGGACCCAGAACCCACACAGATTAAAGATGAACAGGAGGAACCAAGGACCAGTCAGGAGGATGAGAATCATGTCAATGAGTTTATCAATTGTTACGGCTGTGTATCAAGTGGCTATTATCAAGACCCAACTCAGTCCTCACATGGAGAGAGATACTCTCTACCCAGCACCTCAACTGAACAGATCAAAACAGAACCTTATGTAGAAGACTATGGCGTATCAGAACCAACCAGAGAGTCTCAGCCCTTCTCTGCAGTAGATACAGAGTGTTCTGCAGCTCAGAGTGAAAACAGAGGACATATTGACAGGATGGAGAGTGGAGGACCTCTGTCAGGTCTAACATTAAAGCCACTCAAATCAAAGAGAACAAAGACGGTAGAAGGACAAAGTTCTCACATCAGTGTTAAGGACAGGAAATTGAACCATCTAAAATCACACTCGAGACCCAGTGTAAGCTGGGATGCTGCTCCTAGTTGTAAGGTATGTGGAAAGCAATTTGACTCCATGGCTTCTTTATTAAATCATGTGCAAACGCACGCACAGGATAAAGAACATCTTTGTGGTGTGTGTGGAAAATTCTGTCAGTCCACAGAAAGTATGATAGATCACCTACAAACTCACATCGGAGCAAAGTGTTGTCATGTTTGTGGTAAATATTTTGCTTGGGATGCTTTTCTGAAAAGGCATTTGAGGAGTCACACAGGGGAGAAGCCGTTTCGCTGTCATCATTGTGGCAAAGGATTCAGTCAGAGTGGAAACCTGGCTGTGCATATGAAGAGCCACTCTGGAGAGAAATCACATCGCTGTCGTGTTTGTGGAAAATGTTTCATAAGAAACCCTGATCTGACAGTCCACATGAGGACTCATACAGGGGTGAAACCATATAAGTGCCAGTTTTGTGGCCAAGGATTCAAGCAGAATTATCACCTGAAACTGCACATGAAGAACCACATGGGAAAAACCATATCATTGCCATCTTTGTGACATGTATTTCATCACTAGCACCCAGTCAACCTGGCATTAGATTTCACATGGTAGAGAAAGGCATCACTGCCATGACTGACAGAGGCTTTGCATAGACTGGAAGTTTGGCAAGGCATAATGACAATGCACAAAATACTTTAGTGTAGAAAATACTGACAGTAGACCTTGTTTGTGATACATGTTTCACTTAGCCGCTTTATTGAGGAATGTTTTTACTCGCAGTGACTGTTGATATGTGGTTGTTTTACCTGTTTTGAATGCACTGACTGTAAGTTGCTCTGGGTAAGACATAATGCAATTATGTTTTTTTTCTCTGCATTGTTGGGAAGCGTTTCACTGTTAGTCTACACCTGTTGCTTACGAAGCGTGTCACAAATAAAAATAGTTTGGATTTGATTGCTGCTAAACGCTTCAAATGAATGAACTCCCCTGGAAGGTATGAGAAGAACATTCACAAGAGGGAGAAAACATAATGTCCTGATGAAAAACCTTGTGACAACATGGCAGTCATCCTCTGTGTTGGGAGAGTCTTTCAGATAATACAAGAGGTACATTAAAACATCTAATTCCCTAAATCTACTGTCATTCTTTATTTCTATACAGTGCCTTCAGAATGTATTCATATCCACTGACTTATTCCACATTTTGTATTACAGCCTGAATTCAAAATGTATTAAAACAAATTCTCACCCATCTACACACAATAACCCATAATGACGAAGTTGAAACAGATAGTACGATAAATATTCAGTAAAGATTGCCTATGATGAGATCGTCCATAGATTATGGGTGCTTTGTATGTGGTTCTGCAGCTTTTACATTGCTGTTGTGCCTTGATAGGATGCAAGCGAGTGCACTCAGGATGTGCGATGGTGCATTTAAAACTATACCGGTTGAGGCTTTACAAGTAGATACTGGGGAAATGCCACTATCCCTTAAACGAGTTAAGCTAGCCCTGGCATACTGGGCAAGACTGAAGGGTAGTACGGTAGATCATCCTACACTGACAGTATTGGAAGACTACTGGGAATGTGAAAGATATCAAAAGAGGGGTTTTGACCCAAAGATTGGGAAAAGGATTGATGAAGATGGACTCAGGGACTCAGGGTGCATTTATTCGTGAGTTCGATGTTAATCTATGCAATAGAATAATAAATGATTAATCTGTAGATTCAACAGAAATGGTTGCGATAATTGTTGTTTTGCAATGGATAGAAGAGGTACAACCAAGAAGAGTAGTAATATGTTCGGACTCTGCATCCGTTTTGTGTAGTTTTAAGATCTGGAAAGTCAGAACATGAGGATTTATGGTTAGAAATAATGATGCTGTTGTTGGGCTTACAAATATATGGTATTGAAATTCAGTTCTGTTGGATTCCGGCTCATACAGGAGTTCATGGAAATTATATTGTAGATATAAAAGCCAAAAAGCAGTGGAAAATAATATTGTGGATATACAGGTGCAGTTGGGTAGAGGGGAAATTAAAACATTGATTCAGAAAAATGGGTTAGATTGCTGGCGGAGACAATGGGATGAAAGTAGTAAGCGCAGACATTTTTATAGTACAAAGAAATCTGTACTGGAGATAGTGTCATATAATGGGAACAGAAGGGAGGAAGTTATGTTGTGTAGGATGAGATTAGGGCATACAGGATTTAATCCCTCTTGGAAATTGATAGGGAAACATCGTACTGGAATGTGTAATGGCTGAATGGTAGAGGAAACAGAACGTTAACATTTTGTGAAATGTATGATGTAGAAAGAGAGAGGTTGTTTGACAGGGTTGGATGGGAATGGGGAGTGGGTGGTATTTTGGGTGGGGATGATGGGAGTAGTGAGGTTTGTAGGGAATTATTTTATTTTATTAGAAATTCAGGGTTAGTTAAGAGAATATAGTGGTGTAGATAAGTTGTGACCGGCCTCACACTCCAGTACAGTAGGGTGGTGGTGTATGCACCTGCCAGTTGGTTGCCATTTGCCAATAAACACTTAAAGAAGAAGAAGAAGAAGAAGTACATGTCAGAGCAGAAACTATACCATGAAGTCTGCAGATCTCACGAGATAAAATTGTGATGAGGCATATAGCTGGGGAAGGGTATAAAACAATGTCTAGAGTGTTGAACGTTTCCGAGAGCACAGTGATCTCCATCATTGGGAAATTGAAAAAATGTGGAACTACCTAGACTCTGCCTAGAGCTGGCCGTCCGACCAAACTGAGCAACCGGGCAAGAAGGACCTTGGTCAGGGAGGTGACCAAGAACCCAATGACCACTCAGAGTTCCTTGGCTGTGATAGGAGAACCTGCCAGAAGGAAATTAGAATGTTGGATTGGTGATAGCAGTAGGGTGTGTTATATATTTTGCGTACTTTAGTGATCTAGGGAGGCAATGATTGATCTAAACTTCAGATTTGCCCCAGTAGTGCTGTAGCAGCGCCACCAGCTCTGCAGTCTACTACATGTAGGTCTATGTGCTGGGCAAGAATAGAAATGCACACACACTGGAGGACCTCCAAGAATAGATTGGAAAATACCTATTCAATCTGATCAATGATTAGTAGGAAAAAGGATTAGAGATGAATTAATTTTGCCCATTAATCAGCCCTCTTCTCAAAAGCAGCACAGCTGGCGCCAACAAGCATTTCGCTATACCCGCAATAACATCTGCTAAACACGTGTATGTGACACATTATTTATTTTTTGATTTGATTTGACCTGCAGGATCGTCACGACCTGCGCCTTCCGCTCCAGCAGGGGGCGACAGTGCGAAATTAATTATGCCGTGCACGCACAAAGACTGACAGCGCTCTTTGTCTTCTTGACTTTGTTTATGTTGGTAGCTAGCTGGTTAACTTAGCTAGCTAGACAGCTTTCCTTCTCAAAAAATGTCTAAAATAGAGTACTTGAGAGTGTTTCTCAACCAGAAATTGATAGCGGCAGCTGAGGAGATATTTGGTGTCGTTGAAGAAACGATAGCAGAGTACCAGGAAGAGGTTTCTCACACAAAGGAGGAGAACAGGCGTCTACGGAGCATGCTGGATGTCCGTACTAAGCCAGAGATCAAGTTACATAGACGAGCAGGTGTGTGTTTGTTTTATCAACATTCATGTCATATGAGTTACGATTATCTTTCAATGTAATTCATTTTGTAGAGTGTATTTACAAAACCAAGGTATGTAAAAAAATATAATTATTCTGAGCCTAACTACGTCTCAATTCAGCTTTTGAGTTTTCTTTTTCATATTCTCCTTCTCTCCAGACCTCCAGCAGCTCACTGTCACCGTGTCTGATGAGGTGGTTTCCCCTGAGCAGCAGGAGTGGAGCCCCAGTCTGGGGCAGAAGGACCCAGAACCCACACAGATGAAAGATGAACAGGAGGAACCAAGGACCAGTCAGGAGGATGAGAATCATGTCAATGAGTTTATCAATTGTTACGGCTGTGTATCAAGTGGCTATTATCAAGACCCAACTCAGTCCTCACATGGAGAGATATACTCTCTACCCACCACCTCAACTGAACAGATCAAAACAGAACCTTATGTAGAAGACTATGGCGTATCAGAACCAACCAGAGAGTCTCAGCCCTTCTCTGCAGTAGATACAGAGTGTTCTGCAGCTCAGAGTGAAAACAGAGGACATATTGACAGGATGGAGAGTGGAGGACCTCTGTCAGGTCTAACATTAAAGCCACTCAAATCAAAGAGAACAAAGACGGTAGAAGGACAAAGTTCTCACATCAGTGTTAAGGACAGGAAATTGAACCATCTAAAATCACACTCGAGACCCAGTGTAAGCTGGGGTGCTGCTCCTAGTTGTAAGGTATGTGGAAAGCAATTTGACTCCATGGCTTCTTTATTAAATCATGTGCAAACGCACGCACAGGATAAAGAACATCTTTGTGGTGTGTGTGGAAAATTCTGTCAGTCCACAGAAAGTATGATAGATCACCTACAAACTCACATCGGAGCAAAGTGTTGTCATGTTTGTGGTAAATATTTTGCTTGGGATACTTTCCTGAAAAGGCATTTGAGGAGTCATACAGGGGAGAAGCCGTTTCGCTGTCATGATTGTGGCAAAGGATTTACTCAGCGCGGACACCTAAACTTACATATGAGAAGCCACACAGGGGAGAAACCACATCAATGCCAGGATTGTGGAAAATGTTTCAGTCAGAATACATCTCTGATAGTGCACATGAGGACTCACACAGGGGAGAAGCCATACATGTGTCCTGTATGTAGAAAATGCTTTACCACATCAAGTATGTTAAAGAAGCATCAGACAGCTCACAAACATATAAATTAGGTGTCATGAATGTGGCCAATGCCACAATGGATTCAGACTTTAGGGAACCACGAGAAGACTGTTTACAAGAAGGAGAACACATGACTGTGCCCTGTGTGGGGGGAGAGAATCAGACAGCAGACTGAGAGACATGTGAAAGGAGATACCCCTCCTCAAGACACTGCTCTCTGATGAATATCATGTTCTAACAGAGAGCAGTTAGTGGGTTTCTGAGCAACAGGAGTCCATTTTCATTAGTTATAGGATGACACAGAGGACATGATGTGATCCACTGTTCTCTGTCTGTATATAAAGCTTGCATTGGTCTTGAGAGTAATATGTCTTGTTCATATATGGTAATACGTCACCACCTCTACCCTGATGTTGTAAACAGCCTAGTTTTCAGAATGTTTGTTCCCTTGTGTTTAATGTGGCAAGATCTTCCATACACCAAATGTCATATTTACCTCTGAGCCTAATGCCAAAATGCACCAAGGGAAAAACATCTGTTTCATTTCATGTGTATTTACAAGTATAGAGAATTGGTATGATACAGTTACGCTGCGTTCAATGGGAACTAAATATACCACCTGAAATTAGAGCTGCTTCTTTCAACCAACCCAGATATTGTACATTCCCAGACATCCATAAAGTACTACAGAATAAATGGCTGATAATGTGTTAATTGAAGTGTCTTTTTTTAGCTTCTCTCTTCTCTGGCAGCGTTGCGGGATCATGTTGGGAACACCAACTAGGCAACCATTACCTGATGAAATCAATACAAGTGTTAGGAAAAGGGAACTGGTTCCAATCTTTAAATAAAAACCCTTTTAATTATCCGTAAAGGCAGTGGAAATATCTCTGAGCTGTCTATCAAATGGCTGCATCTACACACTAATCATTTAGCGAGATATACTGGAGTGGACACAGACCCTGTAGCACAAAAAGAAGAAGAAGAAGAACTTCAATGACGTCCCAAGAGGACTTCGGTCAACTAGAGGAGGAAGCGCTCGCTTGGAGGTTGTGATGTGGCGCACAAGATTTCAGATTTGTTTGAATGACTTCGTGCCTGGAGAATTCCGAGTGCGGAGTCCAAACTGGGTGAATGAGTTGTTGATGCGTGAGAAGTTTGGAAGTATGACAGCTGAAATGGAGGCGAGTAGTGCGGACGAAATGGAGAAAAGGTTGGAGAAGCAACAGCTGTGCTGGAATGCGAACAGTATGAGTGTCAGTTCTGATGATATGGAGCGGGAGGATGAGCGTCAAGGACCGGAATGGTCTGTAGTGGAAAGACACAGGAAGAATAGAGATCATGATACTGAAAGCAGTGGAGCGTCTAGTAAAGAAAGCATAAAGAGGGCCAAGATAGGAAGCAAGAGTAAAAATGTGTAGGAGTGGAAAGTGGTGATGGTGTTTGATGAGACCACAGGGCCTCATTTACACCCTATCCAACTAACCAATGCAGTAGAGAAAGAGATAGGTGAAGTCAAATTAGCCCAGTTAATTGGAAATGGTAGATTGTTAATATTTTGTGGTAGCTCGGCTCAGCAAGGGAAGATTCTGCAAATGGAAAAGCTTAATGGGAAGAAGATTAAAAGCATTGTCCCTGGTGCTTATGCTAGGTTGAGGGGAGTCATCACTGGGGTCCCAATATCTATGTCCATAGATGATATTACAGAAAATGTGACGGGAAGCAGAGTGATTGAGGCCAAAAGGTTGATCAGTAGGAAAGAGGGTCAAAGAAGAGAAAGCTTATCAGTGCTACTGAGGTTTGAGAAGGCTTTACCTAGACAAGTACAGATAGGATTCATTAGTTTCAATGTCAGAGAATGTGTCCCATCCCCATTGCGGTGTTTTAAATGCCAAAGAATGGGACATGTAGCTGCTCAGTGTAAAGGAAAGAAAAGATGTGCCAAATGTGGAGGGGAACATGATTACGGTGAATGTCAGAGCAATGTGAAGACAGATTGGTGGAACTACAGTGTGGAATGATGGAGCTTCCATGGCTGCTGCTGTACTAAGTGGACCTAATGTCAGGGCTGGTGCTTCTGCTGGACCTGGCATGGTTTTGAGACCTGTTCAGAAATCTTGTGCTCATGAATATGCTGTGTCAAAGGACACTTTGATAGTGAATAAAGTTAACTGCATAGCTTTCATTGGCAAGGTTATCAACACGACTCGGGTTGTGGAAAGCAGAAATGCCAAGTTGAAGGTTATTGTGGATACGGCAAAGTAGTTATTGGGGTAACAGATGTTACTGTTGAAATGGTTGTAGACATGCTGAATAATTTTAAGTGTGGATTGTTTCAGCATTATATAGATAAAGTTGAATGGGTTGGGGTGCTATGGATTTTTTTTTGGCGGGGGGGTAGAAGTCAGTAGGGATTTATTGTTTATTTTTTATTTTATTTTCTTAGAAGTACAGAATTAAGCAGACCATGATTTATCGCATACTCCAGCACAGTAGGTGGCGACATGCACCTTAAACGTTTGCTTGTGGATCGCCATGAAATCGTAGAAGAAGAAGAAGAAGAAGAAGAAGAAGAAGAAGAAGAAGAAGAAGAAGAATAAGAAAAAAAAGACAACTCTGTCGCACTCCACTCCAGCAGAGGGCGATAGTACATAATGTGTTATGCCCTAGGAAGGGGGGCATGCGCTTCTGTGTTTATCTTCTGCAGCAGTACATGCAACTTTTGCTTGGAGGAAAATAAACAATACAAAACATGTCTAAAATAGAGTTGTTGAGAGAGTTGCTCAACCAGAAATTAACAGCGGCTGCTGAGGAGATATTTGGGGTAGTTGAAAAAACGATAGCAGAGTACCAGGTAGACGTTTTCCGTACGAAAGAGGAGAACGAACGTCTTCGTGGGCTGTTGATGTTGCATAGAGGAGGTTTGTAGTACAGTAATTTTTTTGTAGCGTCTAACCACATACAAAAGGGGAGGTGTAGCTAATTAGCTACATGGGTGTCTATCTAATAACGTTAGCAAGCTTTCTAGCCCTGGGGGCCAGTGTCCCAGACCCTAAATGTTTGTCAATGGCGAATCTTCATTGAAAGTGCCAATTACAAAACCTTAATTGATAGTGTAGTCAGGGGAACTGGCCTTAAAGCTGAGATCCGCAAAATGTGAAACAGCGCCACTGCATTTGTTCCTGTTTTGTTTTTGAAAAGGGGGCGACGAGCATCCAGCAACCCAGCAACGCAACCTGGTCTCAACATTTCGTATTAACTCCGAAACATTACATTTAGTGTGATATGTTACGTTTCGTATGGTATGTATTAATTTGTGCATGTCCAGCCGTTTTGTATATGTTACGAATTTGCTAAATGTACAATAGCTGGTACTGCAGTGCATCTCATCCTCATGGACTGCACCAGATTTGCCAGTTCTTGCTGTGAGATGTTACCCCACTATTCCACCAAGGCACCTGCAAGTTCCCAGACATTTCTGGGGGGAATGGCCCTAGCCCTCACCCTCTCATCCAAAAGGTCCCAGACGTGCTCAATGGGATTGAGATCTGGGCTCTTCACTGGCCATGGCAGAACACTGACATTCCTGTCTTGCAGGAAATCACGCACAGAACGAGCAGTATGGCTGGTGGCATTGTCATGCTGGAGGGTCATGTCAGGATGAGCCTGCAGGAAGGGTACCACATGAGGGAGGAGGATGTTACGCACAGCGTAATGTCTTCCCTGTAACGCACAGCGTTGAGATTGCCTGCAATGACAACAAGCTCAGTCCGATGATGCTGTGACACAGCACCCCAGACAATGAAGGACCCTCCACCTCCAAATCGATCCCGCACCAGAGTACAGGCCTCGGTGTAACAAAACCAAGACTCATTTACATTTTAGTCATTTAGCAGACTTACAGTTAGTGAGTGCATACATTCGTGCATACATTCAATTTCCCCCATGGGAATCGAACCCACAACCCTGGCGTTGCAAACACCATGCTCTACCAACTGAGCTACATCCCTGCCAGCCATTCCCTCCCCTACCCTACCCTGGGCCAATTGTGCGCCGCCCCATGGGTCTCTCGGTCGTGGCCGGCTACGACAGCGCCTGGATTCGAACCAGGATCTCTAGTGGCACAGCTAGTGCCTTAGACCACTGCGCCACTCGGGAGGTCAGTCAGTGAAGAGCACTTTTTGCCAGTCCTGTCTGGTTCAGCAACGGTGGGTTTGCGCCCATAGGCGACGTTGTTGCCGGTGATGTCTGGTGAGGACCTGCCTTACAACAGGCCTACAAGCCCTCAGTCCAGCCTCTCTCAGCCTATTGCGGACAGTCTGAACACTGATGGAGGGATTGTGCATTCCTGGTGTAACTCAGGCAGTTGTTGTTGCCATCCTGTACCTGTCCCACAGGTGTGATGTTCGGATGTACCGATCCTGTGCAGGTGTTGTTACACGTGGTCTGCCACTGCGAGGATGATCAGCTGTCAGTCCTGTCTCCCTGTAGCTCTGTCTTGGGCGTCTCACAGTACAGAAATTGCAATTTATTGCCCTGGCCACATCTGCAGTCCTCATGCCTCCTTGCAGCATGCCTAAGGCACTTTCACGCAGATGAGCAGGGACCCTGGGCATCTTTCTTTTGGTGTTTTTCAGAGCCAGTAGAAAGGCCTCTTTAGTGTCCTAAGTTTTCATAACTGTGACCTTAATTGCCTACCGTCTGTAAGCTGTTAGTGTCTTAACGACCGTTCCACAGGTGCATGTTCATTTAATTGTTTATGGTTTTTATTTATTTATTTTATTTAACCTTTATTTAACCAGGTAAGCCAGTTGAGAACAAGTTCTCATTTACAACTGCGACCTGGCTAAGATAAAGCAAAGCAGTGCGATAAAAACAACAACACAGAGTTACATATGGGGTAAAAAAACATAAAGTCAAAAAAATACAACAGAAAATATATATACAGTGTGTGCAAATGTAGCAAGTTATGGAGGTAAGGCAATAAATAGGCTATAGTGCAAAATAATTACAATTAGTATTAACACTGGAATGCTAGATGTGCAAGAGATTATGTGCAAATAGAGATACTGGGGTGCAAAAGAGCAAAATAAATAACAATATAGGGATGAGGTAGTTGGGTGGGCTAATTTCAGATGGGCTGTGTACAGGTGCAGTGATCGGTAAGGTGCTCTGACAACTGATGCTTAAAGTTAGTGAGGGAGATAAGAGTCTCCAGCTTCAGAGATTTTTGCAATTCGTTCCAGTCATTGGCAGCAGAGAACTGGAAGGAATGGCGGCCAAAGGAGGTGTTGGTTTTGGGGATGACCAGTGAGATATACCTGCTGGAGCGCAGACTACGGGTGGGTGCTGCTATGGTGACCAATGAGCTAAGATAAGGCGGGGATTTGCCTAGCAGTGATTTATAGATGGCCTGGAGCCAGTGGGTTTGACGACGAACATGTAGTGAGGACCAGCCAACAAGAGCGTACAGGTCACAGTGGTGGGTAGTGTATGGGGCTTTGGAGACAAAACGGATGGCACTGTGATAGACTACATCCAATTTGCTGAGTAGAGTGTTGGAGGCTATTTTGTAAATGACATCGCCGAAGTCAAGGATCGGTAGGATAGTCAGTTTTACGAGGGCATGTTTGGCAGCATGAGTGAAGGAGGCTTTGTTGCGAAATAGGAAGCCGATTCTAGATTTAACTTTGAACAAGCATGGGAAACAGTGTTTAAACCCTTTACAATGAAGATCTGTGAAGTTATTTGGATTTTTACAAATTATCTTTGAAAGACCGGGTCCTGAAAAAGGGACGTTTCTTTTTGCTGAGTTTAGTTGCAAAGTAGCTAGTAAGTAGTTTAAAAGTAGTTTTTAAGTTGTCCGTTCACATTATACGCCCACCCATCCACCTCCATTTCATTTTTGCCTTAAGTAACCTTCTGTCTTATGTAACCATACCAAACGTAACATATCATACTAATTTGAGTGCACAGGATTTACATTTACTGTGTTACGTCTAGTCTGAGACCCGGCTGAGCAAAGTAATACAAAAAAATAGTAGTAGCTACATACACTGCTGTTCTATAGCGCATGCAATGATGTCCGAGGGAATAAAACAAATGTTGTTTGAAGTTACATTTCTGTTGTTGTAATATCGCAAACGGACGTGGCAGTTTCACCGAAACGGATTCCAAATTTGCAACTGTATCTCCTTCCCTCCAGAGTCAAACTGCCAGCAGCAAGCTGAAGCTACTATCACTTTGGTGCAGGTTGCCCCTGAGCAGCAGTCATGTACTCAAGACTGGAGCCTCCGTCTAGGACAGGAGGACCCAGAGCCCACAGTGTCACAGTGTAAAGAGGAAGAGGATACCCACTGGATCAGTGAGGTTGAAGAGCACATTCAAAGGCTGGAGTCTGATCCCAAAGAAGATCCAGACCAAGTATCCACTCCTGAAGGTGGGTTCGCTGACAAGCTCTCAACACATATTATCAAGCCATAGCATTGGTCAGTGGACACAGCTATACCTTTCAGCACATCATTTATTGTAACACAGTCGTGCTGTTGTTGTTAGAGCTGTATTTAAAGGTCATACTCTTTGAAATCAAGGGGCATTTTATTAGTGGAAATTATTGGAAATCATACAGTCTGTGGCTTTAAGCCCTGGTGACGCTGAGTCCTTTCTTTTCCTCAGATTTCACATTCCAAATGGAGGCAGAAGGGTCTGCAGATGAAGCCATCAAACTGAAAGTAATCATCAACGACAACAGAATAGAGAAAGTGGTTCTGCCCTCTCAACCTGATTCACTGAATGAGCTGATATCAACGCTCAAGGAGAAACTACATCTGAAGTTTGATTTCTGTCTTCTTTATGAAGACCCTGATTTCAACAATGAGCTCTTCAACTTAGAGACCATTGAAGACTTGCCTTCTCCTAGGGCTACGGTGAAAGTTTTGCCAATACGACGTGATACAGACCTCGGTTTAGCTGGACTCTCAGCCACTGAGTTACAGGACGCCCCACCAGAGCGGCTAGGCAGGTGGCCTGAGGTATTTGTCATACCCACTTTCTCGATGGAGGTTGAGTTTGCTCTGAGAGAGGGCAATTGCGCATATCTGAGACATGAAACTGTGCTGAAAATAACAAGGGATCAAAAACACAACATTCTTGATAGGATGGCATGGACCATCTTCAATTTCAAAGCTTACCCAAGTGACAGGCAGTTTGCCAAGGCAGCTGAGGCCCTTGTAACCAAGCACCCATGTTTGAAAGAGCCTGGCTCAAGAACAGGCTGTGATGGCTGGAAGAATAGCCTGAAATTCAAAATGGGAAACTACAGGCAGAAGTTACGCCGTGTTGGGTTCCCAGAGGTTGCTGTGAATGGGGGGAGGAGGAGCAAGCATCGTCCTGACAATGAGCATGCTCGGAGCAACATTAAACGAGCTCGCCGGGCAGAGGTGAACTTCCTGCCCAACTTCCCTCAAGGAGAAGACGAGGCCAGCCTGGAGAAACAGAGACTGGAGATGGTCCACGAAATTACGAAAGAAAACAGAGACCTGCCACTCATCAATCAACACATGCAGAAGACATTTGCTCTCCGACGCCAAGAAATCGTGAAATCCAGTCCCCCAGTAGAGCATCTCAGAACACGCTGGCCAGCACTCTTCCTCGAAGCCCAGGTAAGCAGACTAAGAAAAGTTGGGTTTGTCCATTCATATGCTCATAACAATCTACATTTCCATTGCAATTCAGATCTTCTTTGATGGATGTCACATGGGCTTTTGGTTGTACTCACAAATGGTGGTTATCAGTAACAAAATTCTCAGGGCATGCTCAACTTGTGCTTTATCTTTTGCTGCAGGTACATGCTGAGTTTCAGAGAATCACCAACCAGAGCCTGCAGCAGACGTTCTACGCTGCCTTGGACCACCACACGCCCCGCCTGCTGACCCTGTTCAGGGAGAAGGAGGGGAAGTCCACCACCTATGGAGGGAAGTTCTCAAGCATCCTGAGAGTGTACAATGAGCAGGTCAGTGGATCAGGGATGGACAATCTTGGTGTGGCTGCAGACTCTTGTTTCAATCAAGCAGTGACACACCTGATTCAACTTTATCAACTAATCTTCAACCAAGACGTTGTTTACTGCTTGGTTGGAACAAAAGCCTGCACCCACACCTGGATTTTGTGGATAAGATTGGCCACCCGTGCACTATATGGACATATACTTCAACTGTTAGTTGTGACTGGAACCAGATTAGATTACTCCTCTATGTTGGGGTTGACGATCTCAATTTGCTGGATTATTTAAATGCTAAATTACATTGTGAAATGTGCACTCTTTAGTTCACTTCACAGGGAGAAAAGAACATCACTGTGGCCCGCTCTGCAGTCCTGGCTGGTCTCCCTTTGTTGTTACGAGAGGATAGTTCTGATGTCTTCAAAGTCTGCAAGGTGGTCACCTATATGGTTTTACAGCCTGTACCATTATCAACGCAATATTCTTTTGTATTGTGATTTTTAAACTTTGTTTTTTCTTATGTCATTAAGGTGGGAGAACTCAGCAACCCTGGTATTCTGGATGGCGTTTCCATTCTCTCAGTGGTGGGCCAGCACAATGAGGTGGTGGTGGGTGGTGTACCCATCAGACCAGCCCATGTATCCATTGTCCTTGAGGATAAGATCGTCATGACTAACTCCCGCTCCTGGCCAGATGCTCTCGTGGTTGTGTTTGGCCTACTCTACTCCCTCCATCTGAACTACCCCAAGGCCCTGGGCAGCACCTTTGAGTTCATGCAGAAAGTCTTCCTGAACCTCGACGATGGAAAGCTGAAGCCCAAGCTGTTAGCGCTGAAAAATGAACTGTTGGCCTAATTCTGTAGTGATGAGCTGGAATTTTACTTACAGTGACCTCCTATATGCTGAGTGAGTCGTTTGAAAACAAAACATTTTTCTTGGGGTTTAGTTGTTATATTTTTTTATGTTTTTTGTGAAGGTAATGGATTTTAAATTTTATTTCAGTGCACTTGTAACCCTTTTATGTGCAATGAAGACACATGACAGTCAACACATTAACTTGCCACATACAGTAGATCTGCGACCCAGTTCTATACCTTCGTTATACAGCTGCAGAAAACCCCAAAATGTATTCTACAAGATTTCACCTTTGCAGACATTCCGACTGTCACAAAATAAATGTAGATAAAATGTTTATTAAAGTGTCTTTACCTGCTTTTGTCTATCTTTTCTGGCATTGTTGCATGATCCTGGCCTTCTATCTGAATTGTAAATGTTCACGAAGACACAGGACTATGTCTCAACTGTTCTAACACTGAATATACACTGAGTGTACAAAACATTAGGAACACCTTCCTAATATTGAGTTGCAGCCCTTTTTGCCCTCAGAACCGCCTCAATTCGTCGGGGCATGGATTCTACAAGGTGTCGAAAGTGTTCCACAGGGATGCTGGCCCATGTTGACTCCAATGTGTCCCACAGTTGTCTAGTTGGCTGGGTGTCCTTTGGGTGGTGGACTATTCTTGATACACACGGGAAACTGAGTGTGGAAAAACCCATCAGTGTTGCAGTTCTTGACACACTCAAAATTCTTTAACCTGTCTCCTCCCCTTCATCTGCACTGATTGAAGTGGATTTAGCAAGTGACATCAATAAGGGATCATAGATTTCACCTGGATTCACCTGGTCAGTCTATGTCATGGAAGGAGCTGGTCTTCCTAATGTTTTGTATACTCAGATCCTATGTAGTTCAAAACAATTTGGGGGGGATTGCTAGGTATTACTCCACTGTTGGAGATTGAAACACAAGCATTTCACTGCACCTGCAATAACATATTAAAATCTGTGTATGCGACAAATAAACGTAGATTTGATCTGTAGTTGGTAGTAGTACACACAGTGGATAGCCAGAGCTGTGATGGCGGTCAGTAGGAGGGCACACAGCATCACCAGACACACTGCAGCTGTGATGGCGGTCAGTAGGAGGGCACACAGCATCACCAGACACACTGCAGCTGTGATGGCGGTCAGTAGGAGGGCACACAGCATCACCAGACACACTGCAGCTGTGATGGCGGTCAGTAGGAGGGCACACAGCATCACCAGACACACTGCAGCTGTGATGGCGGTCAGTAGGAGGGCACACAGCATCACCAGACACACTGCAGCTGTGATGGCGGTCAGTAGGAGGGCACACAGCATCACCAGACACACTGCAGCTGTGATGGCGGTCAGTAGGAGGGCACACAGCATCACCAGACACACTGCAGCTGGTCTCTATGGAGGGAAACTAGAGCTCAACTTGCCACTGAGCCCTGAGAGGAGAATAACACAATACACTTCATAGAGCATAAAGAAGGACTATATAGCCTTAACAAAGCACATACATAAGGACTTCATACAGCCTTCACAGAGCATACATACGAACTTCATATAGCCTTCATAGAGCATACATAAAGACTTCACAGAGCATACAGAATAACTATATATAGAGTGGGGTCTCCCACTCCACTTTCTATTCTGGTTAGAGCTAGTTTGCGCTGTTCTGTGAAGGGAGTAGTGCACAGCGTTGTACGAGATCTTCAGTTTCTTGGCAATTTCTCGCATGGAATAGCCTTCATTTCTCAGAACAAGAATAGACTGACGAGTTTCAGAAGAAAGTGATTTGTTTCTGGCCAAAAAATTGCTTTTCTTTCGAAAACAAGGACATTTCTAAATGACCCCAAACTTTTGAACGGTAGTATACATCAGTACAGGGTTACAAGCAGAACATTTGAAAAGGTCCCAGCGTGTTTGTTCTTATCACTCTGAATAGAGAGTGAGGCAGCAGGGGGGAACACAGATTCTTACCTTGGTGAAGTTGATTGTGGACACAGCCAGTCTGTGAGGGTGTGTGACGTGTGTTAGAGATGACGTCTGTGTGTGTTCCGTCTTACTCCTGCCCTGCTGGGGTTTCTCCACACTGCCGGTACAGCTCCATGTCAACTTGATGCATACTGGTATCTGTGAGGCTGTTTCTCTGTCAACACAGCTCACTGGTTTGTCTGTCTGTCGTTGGTCTGTCTGTCTGTCACTGGTCTGTCTGGCTGTCGCTGGTATGTGTGTCTGTTGCTGGTCTGGGAGGTAGTGTTGGTCGCCTTCAGGGTTCTCTCAGGCACAAAGGTCTCTGTGTGTGTGTGTTTGTTTTTGTGTGTGCGCACGTGCAAGTGAGTCTGTGTTCTTAATTACATGGAGCAACATGTCATCATATTTCTCAGCTTGTGTAAGTGGGTGAGTGAGTTAATGAGTGTGGGTGTGTATGCGTGTCTTTCTATAACTAAGGGAGTAGTTATTAGATTTCAGTGTCCTTGTGCAGCCTGAGCCCTCCCCCTTTGACGCAAAAACAAGAAACATTGAAACGCCTGTGACTCCAATTAGTATATAATCAAGGCAGCCTGTCAGTCAGTCCATGGCTCTGTGATCATAGAAATTGTTCACGTACGGGTAGAACAGACAGCACCATTGATAGAAACTATTGCCTGATTGAAAGCCGAGGAGAAGCCTGGTACAGAAATGAACATTTACTTAGAAATGACATAAAATGGTAATTACACTATAACAATCTGTTTAGCGGAACTTCTGTGTGTTACCCAAGCTCCAATGATGGACAGGCCATGTAAAATGACATCTATTGATTCTATGCAACCTATTTCGATGTCTTGGGACATTGTCCTTCTCACTCGCCCTGGTGAAGGAGGGCTCTAAGAATATCTCCCTGATGTGATGTCATCAGAATGGAATGTCAGGATCGTCCTGTAGATGCTACAATATGGAATGCTGCCGACATACTTATCTAATGTGACTTTAAACGCCACACAACCTACTTACCATGGAATATCTCAGCTCAGCATGAGGGCAGGAGAAAGCTAATAGCACTTGCCAGTTAAACACTGTATGTGACACTAATATAATGTGAATGCACATATCCAGTACCTCTGTCTGCTCCTTTACTACTAATGAACTCTTGTTGAATGCATGTTATTCCTATGGTTTATACAGAGTACAGTAGCTTTTCTGAATGGTAACATGGCTGACTATACAGCACTATAAACAGAATATACGGAAAAGTTCCATCCTGTCAGTTCCTTTCTGTAAATAGAGATCAAAACAAACCAGTTTTATGTGAATAGTCAGACCGTAGCATGTTACATAGTATGGTCCAGCTGCATATGCAATTAACATGTAAATACTGTATGGTTTTAGCTTCACTTGGTATAAAGAGTCACACCATCACATGTACTGTATGAAGTTGCCTCTGTGGTTGAAACGTTATTAATACAAACTATAGGAGCATTTATTCTAAACAGCACAGAGGCATTTCTCACATTTTGTCTAGAACACAGTCAGCCCTGAGCTTCTAATGTCATTGGTAAATCACAGGCTTCCAGCTCCTCCTATCATTTTCCTTCTTTCTTTTACAGTGTGGTCTGGAATGTTGGCTGTACAGGGCTGGTGCTCGCTGGAGCTACTCAACCTTCATGTCTCACACTCATCCCATACATATGTCTCCTATTAGCTACACTCACCCAGAGAGAGGGAGGAGGGAAATAGAGGAAGGAGTGAGGGAGGGAGAGGGGGAGAGGGAAGGAAGAGAGTGGGAGTGAGGAGAGGGGTAGAGAGAAGGAGAGAGAGAGAAGGGAGAGAAGGGAGAGAGACAGTAGGGTGAAGGAGAAGAGAGGAATTCGATATATGCTTTATGTGTTTTATATAAAACCGAGACAGAGACAGCGAATACACTGCATGTGTATGTAAGATAGAGATGTGTGTAGAGAGAGAGAGGAGAGAGCATACTGTACACAACCACATCAGAGACCCATATATTTTCCAAAAAAAATGATGTTGTTTATCTTCCGTCTTTTTCCTTCATTTGCATCTCGTTTCACAATAAAAAACTAAACAAACCGCCATACCATGAAAATGTACAAAAATAATAATACAAATAATATGTATATATAATTATATAATTATCAACAAACAGACAACATTAATAATAATAACAATACTATTAATCGTTAACATAATATGACACTTCTTAATCATTGGTCTCATGCATACTCATACACCGCCCGTCCGTTAGGAAAGAGGCCGATTACTAAAAATAGAACCAGGAGTTCAACCAGTTCAGAATAAGCGACTAGCTACATGCAATGACATAAAGGAGAGCCTGATGTACACATTCTTCCTGGCATAAGGTCATTTACAACGGACTGTACTGCACTATATTGCTGCTCCCATCTAGTATACTGTACAGGGCACAATACAAAACTGACTGGAGTTGTACAACATACGCTGGGACTTGCCCAGAGTCTGGGGCTATGATATAGTTCAGATAACACAGACTGTAAGTAACGGTTTCACTCATCCCTCTCTCCCTTTTTTCATCTGTTTTCTCAATCAGTTCATTTCTCATCAGGTTCCTATGGTATGATATGTGTGTCCAGTCTATGGTTTCATTTGACTCTTCCTTCATTGTTTTTAGTGCTTCCATTTTTATTTATTTTTATCTTTGTTTGCACATATTTCTCTCCTTTCTTCCTCCTTTGGGTTTGTCATCCGTGGGCTTGTTCCCCCTCTCTTTTTCCTCCCTCACAGGGTCTTGTCGCTTTCCTTCTTTAAGTGGCTGAGGAAGAGAGAAGAGATCGTATGAGACAGGGTCAGGGATGATGCCCACACACACACACACCACACACACACAGTATTGTACAGCTAACCTTGTGGGGACACACAATTCAGTCCCATTCAAAATCCTATTTTCCCTAACCCGTACTCTTACCCTTATCCAAAAACCTAACCTTAACCCTAAACCTAACCGTAGCTCCTAACCCTAACCCTAAAACTAACCCTAGCTCCTAACCCTAACCTTTAACGTAATTCTAACCCTAACACTAATTCTAACCTTAACCCTAAACCCCCTTGAAATAGCATTTGACCTCGTGGGGACTAACAAAATGTCCCTAGTTGGTCAAATGTTTGTTTGTTTACTATTCTTGTGGGGACTTCTGGTCAAGAATAGTTCAACATGTACACTCTCCCCCACCTCCACCAGACACACTCTCCCCACACCCCACCCAGCTCCCCTGGTCCCTTCAGTAGGCTACCTGTAGTACTCGTCCTGGGTGAGGGAGTGGTGGTGGTGGTGGTGGATCCACTGCTGTTCCAGGGCCAGTCTCTGGATCTGCAGCTCTGCGCTCTGGGCCTGCTGCATGGCCTGGAGCTGGTGGGCCGCTGACATGGAACCTGTCAGAGAGGAGGGCTGGGGCAGCTCACGGAACGGAGCGCCTGGAGGGGGAAGGAAAAGGGAAGCGGAAAGGGAAGAGGAGAGACAGGTGAGAGGAGGAGTGGAGAAGAGGAGAGACAGGTGAGAGGAGGAGTGGAGAAGAGGAGAGACAGGTGAGAGGAGGAGTGGAGAAGAGGAGAGACAGGTGAGAGGAGAAGTGGAGAAGAGGAGAGACAGGTGAGAGGTGAGTCGAGAAAGTTAGAGACAGGTGAAGGAGTGAGTGAGCAGAACGGTGCGGTGCTAGCTCCCCCCCCCTGAGAGGAAGACAGGTGAGGAGGAGTGGAGAAGAGAGAGACGTGAGAGGAGGTGGAGAAGGAGAGACAGGTGAGATGGTGTGAGAAGAGAGAGACAGGTGAGAGGAGGAGTTGAGAGAGTGAAGACAGGTGAGAGGAGGAGTGGTCGGAGAGGAGATGACAGTGAGAGGGTCTTGAGAGAGGATGAGAAGAGGAGACAGGTGCAAGGAGGATGAGAAGAGAGAACAGGTAGAGGAGGAGTGGAGAAGAGGATACACAGGTGAGAGAGATGGAGAAAAGACGTGAGAGACAGGTGAGAGGAGAACAGGTGAGAGGAGGAGTTGGAGACTAGAGAACAGTTGAGAGGAGGAGTGGTGAGAAGACGGTGAGGATACAGGTGAGAGGAGGAGTGGAGAAGAGGAGAGACCATTTTGAGATTGGAGAGTTGGAGAAGAGGAGAGCGGTTGGGAGGATTTGGAGAAGAGGAGAGACAGGTGAGAGGAGGAGTGGAGAAGAGGAGAGACAGGTGAGAGGCGGAGTGGAGAAGAGGAGAGACAGGTGAGAGGAGGAGTGGAGAAGAGGAGAGACAGGTGAGAGGAGGAGTGGAGAAGAGGAGAGACAGGTGAGAGGCGGAGTGGAGAAGAGGAGAGACAGGTGAGAGGAGGAGTGTAGAAGGGAGAGAGAGGTGAGGTAGACAGTGACAGATAGATAGTTCGGTATCATATTTATGATACAACACAGACAGACAGACAGGCAGGCAGACAGAACAATAAACAAACAGACCAAAAAACAAGCCTTTCCTCACCGAAGAGCTGTTGTCGTAGCACCTCGCTTTCAGTGAGGGGGTGTGCCAGGATGGGGGTGCCCAGCGTTGCCCCTGGGTAGGGCAGGCGGGCCAGGGGAGACCCCGACGCCAACGGGTCCATCAGGGGGTGCACCCCGCCCGCCGCTAGGGGCCAATGATGTAACAGGAAACACAAGGAGATATTTAATAAGAGTCAAAGCATCAACAACCACGTTAACAACAACATCTCTAACCGATAGGATGAGCTTTCTCAGGCCCATCTCAAAACAGCACTATATAGTAGTATGTAGATCATAGTACAGGATCATAACTGTGGTAGTGTTAGCAGCAGTGGGTACCTGTGTCTTGCTGGTGCAGGTGCAGGTGGGAGTGGATGTGTGAGTGCTGGTGATGATGAGGCGTGACGTTCAACATCTGAAGACGCCCCGGAATCTCTCCTCCTCCTGTTCCTCCTCCTCCACTTCCACCACTTCCTCCACTTCCATTGCTTCCCCCTCTTTCTCTTTCTCTCTCTCGCTCCCTCTCCCTCTCTCGTCCCCTCTCTCCACTGGCTGGCAGCCCCGCTCTGTCTCGCTCTCTTTCTCTCTCCCTCTCTCCGCTCCTCTCTCTCTCAGAGTTGGTGGGGGAGCGAGTGGGAGGGGGGTAGGTCTCAGGAGGGGCGGTCACCGGGGCGGGGGCAGGTGGGGGGTGAGATGGGGGGAGAGAGCTGGGAAAGGAGTGCGGTGCGGGGTGATGGAGGGATGAAACAGGGTTGGAGGGGTGGAGGAGGAGCGGGCAGAGGTGCAGCTGCGGGGGACCGGGGGTGGAGGGCCTGGTGCAGGCACGGGGTGAGAGGGGAGTGAGGGAGGAAGCAGGGAGAAGGGGGGAGGGTTGGAGAGGGACTGAGGGGCAGGAGGAGGATTAGGGAGACGACTCACAGGTGCTAACGCTGGGTTCTGGAGGGGTGGTGGTGGGGGTGGAGGAGCCTGGGGAGGGGGTGTGCCGTAAATGGACACCTCACCTCCACCCCCTCCCCCCAGCAGTAGGGAGTGAGCGTGTGCATGAGCGTGTGCGTGGGCATGCGAGTGGGAGTGGGCGAGGGCGAGAGCCGTAGGATCTCCCAAGGAGCCTGGCTGGTACACCCTGTCCTCACTCTTAAACTCAAACCCCGGCTTCATGCGCTCACGGTGGGCCGCCACTGCATGGGGAAACCCCATCCCCCCAAACCCTGCGCCCCCCATCCCCCCATGTCCTCCTCCATGCCCCCCTGGCCCCCCCTCCATACTGCCCCCATAGAGGAAACCCAAGATGGCTGCCGCTGTGGCTGCATCAGCAGGCATGTGATGTGGGTGGGCCAGAGCATGGTTCTGGAACTGGGGGAGGAAGAAGGAGGGGTGGACATGGGGGTGGCCATGAGGGTGGCCATGATGGTGGACATGCGGATGTTGGTGTTGGCGACTAGCCCCGAGGGGGGACATGGCGTGGGGCCGGGCGTACTCGCTCAGGGTCCGCAGTGCGGGGGTGTCAGGGCCCAGGTACGGCCCTCCTAACCCGATCCCCAGAGCCCCCTGTGGGCCAACCACCGTTGAACCTCCCATGGATTGCATGAGGAGGGAGTGTGGGATGTGTTGAGAGAGGGAGGGGTGGAGGTGGGAGGGGTGGAGGTGAGCGTGGGGGTGAGGGTGGGAGTGGTGCTGCTGGGGGTGAGGTTGAGGGTGAGACCCAGGGTTAGAAGAAGAGGAGTTAGGGTCGAGGAGGATGGAGGAGGATGAGGGGAAGAAGAGAGAGGAGCCCTGGCGTTGTATATTTGCATTGTTATTGTCCTTCTGTTGCTGCAGGGAGAGAGGGAACGGGAGAGAGGGAGCATTTAAAGAGACAAAAAGGAGAAGGAAATTGAGCATCGTCTCCCCCTCCCTCATTGCCTCCCCCTCCCTCCCTCATCGCCTCGCCCTCCCTGCCTCATTATACTCACTTGTAGATGCCTCTCCAGGTCCCGCTCCCTCTCTCTCTCCCTCTCTCTCTCCCTCTCTTTCTCCCTCACGTCTCTAGCCCTCTGCTCCACCTCTCTCCGGGCTCTCTCGATCACCTCGTTCCTTTTCTTCCACAGTTTGGAGCCGTCCAGGGGGACGAAGAGAACGTCGCTACGGGCGCAGGAGTTTCCACTGCCCCGATCTAGAACTCTGTGGAACCTAGAACCACAAACCACATCAGCAACATCTAACCAATTTATGCATCGGATTTTGTTCCCATATGATGATACTAAGTATCTTTATTATGTGTCTTCTGTTATAGGTGTTGTTGTCTTTGATATACTGTAGGCCTATCTACAAAACATATTCTGTGACAGGACTAGATTTCTCAGCCCCTTTATCTAGAAATAATAGCTGACATATTATGAGAAGTGCCAGCGACAAAAACAGAGATAAAACCACATCAATCAGTTGTTAGAACTTGTTGTTAGAGTGACATATGACGGAGCCCTTCTGTTGCTATGACGCCTATCCCATCTCACCGTGCTGATTGGCTGGCGTGGATCGGAATGTCCACCGGCTTGGGCTCAGGGGAGGGGCTTCTCAAAACAGGAGGTGGGCTTTCGCTCTCCTCCCTCTCCTCTATTGGTTCCTCCTTGATGACAGGTGGACCTGTGGACGAATCAGAATGCCCATCTCTAGGAAGTGAGGAGCTACAGCCAGGGGCCGAAGTGCCATTGTTGTTGCCGGGGTTACTAAGAGGTGGCGGTCCTTTTGAGGCGTTTTGAGGTGAGAGGGACTGAGAGAGAGAGTTGGTATTGCTGCTGCCGCTGCTACTGTTACTATTGCTGTTAGTCGGGACCAGGTTGTTCCCACTGTTCCCATTGGAGTGGTAGGGGCCGCTGAAGGGGGCGTGGCTGTTCAAAGTGCTGTGGAAGGGTGAGGGCCGACAGCCAGGTGACACACCTGAACCAGGAAGTGGCATGTTGGCCCCGGAGGAGGAGCCTGGCGGGTAGGAAGGAAACCCTCCCATCTGATTGGTCGAGGGGCTTGGTAAAGGAGAAAGGGGTGTTGCAGGAGTCTGATTGGAGGACGGGTAATTTGCCGGACGAACGTGATTGGGTCCCAGGACGGAGGGGGGTTGGGGCTGAGCGAGGGAGGTTTGCGGAGGGGGGAGAGGGGGAGGAGGTGGCGGAGGAGGGTAAGGAGCATTCAGAGGGTGTCCATGAGGAGTGGAGGAGGAAGAGGAGGGAGAAACAGACGGGGGTTGGGGTGGACCACCACGGTTTTGGTAGAGAGCCGACTCTCGCTGGTTGGTGTCCCTCTCTCGGTCCCTGTCTCTGGGCTGCTGGGTTGGAAAGTGGGGATGGGACAGGTGGGGGATCTGAGGTCCACCTGGGTAGTCTCGGCCCAGGTTTGGAGTCATTCCGGGGGGGCTGGGGTACTCACGGGCTGGGCCGGTGGAGGGTGGGCCACCAGGGGGATAGTCCTTGGCCCCAGGAGGGTACTCTCTGTGGAAGTGTTCTGGTCCAGAGGGGGGGCTGTGCCTTGTCTGTGCCTGTTCCATCGATGGGGGGTAGTCTCGTTTGGAGGCACTTTGAGGATGTGGGTGGGGTGGTAGGGAAGGGTGGCTGGGGTTGTTTTGGGGTGAGGAAGGGGGGTCGCGGTTTAGCATGGGGGCCGCAGGTAACCCACTGGTCGAGCTTGGGGGGTTTCCTTGGGGGAGGGGGTTATTATTGGGGTTGCCATTGCCCCCCACCTCTCTCATCTGGCCCCCAAACTCGCCCCACCGCCCACCCTCTTTGTCTCTGGGGTGCCCCCTTCCTCCCCCAGCACTGGTGGGTCCAAACTCTCTGTTCTGATTCTCATTACGATTCTGTAAAGAGAACTCCCTTCCTCCTACATCCCTCTCTCCCTCCATCTCTCTATCTCTATCCCTCTCTCTTTCTCTGAACCCCCCCGGTCCAAATTCTCTCCCCCCAGGACCCATGGGGGGGTCTCTCCCAGAGCCCTGAGGTCCCAGGCCTGGGTACTCCCGGTTCTGACCCCCAAACTCCCTCCCTTGGACCCCATTAGGACCCCCCATCCCACCAGAAGTGCTGCTGTTACTACCACTACTAGCCGAGAAATCCCTACCTATCTCCCTCCCCCCATACTCCACCCTCACGCCGGCCGCCGCCCTCTCCCCTCCCCCAGCAGCGTACCTGGGGAGGTATTCCTTGTGGGGGTGGGGGAGGTAAGGGGGGTGGGAGGAGGACGAATGACGGGATGAAGGGGGGTTGTAGACGGATGGCAGTTGCTGCTGCTGCACTGGTGGTTGGTGCTGCGGCTGGTGAGCGTGGTGGTTACCGGAGTAACGGGCGTAGCCCCAACTCCCCTGGCAACCGGTTGCCGTGCCTCCCTGCCAGCCGGTGGGGCTGTAGTGGTGGGGGTGGGGCGGGGGCTGGGAGGGGGGTAAGGGGCTGGTTTGGGGTAACAGAGAGGGAGGAGCCGTCTTGTTGTCCATCAGTTTCTCACCTTTCTCCAATTTCTCTCTCTCTACCTTGACTTCTGAGGGCAGGTTCTGCCCCCCTAGTTCTAAGGGTTTCAGCGCAGGTGGAGGAGGAAGGGGTGGAATGTTGGGGTTGCCGTGGGGATAGTCTCCCCCGGCAACAGTTGTCTTGGTCACGCACTGCACTTTAGCTTTGGAGTTCATTCGATTGCCACCGTGCACAGTGTCAGCGCTGGCCGGTCCATACTCCATCTTACTCACCAGCTTGGAGTCCTGTGAGAAATAGGACTTCCTGCCACTATTGCTGTCATTGGCTGAATCCCCTGCTCCGCGGAGAGAGGGAACAGGAGCACAGGAAGAGCTGGAGGAGGATGGCAGCTTCAGAGAAGGGCTGTCCTCCATTCCTCCATCCTTCCTTTCTCCATCTCCGCAAGACTCCTCCCCTCTCCCCTCTCTGGCTGCTCTCCTTTCCTCTCCTCCTGTCTTCCCCACTCCTCCCTCTTTCCTTTTCTCCCGTTCCCCCTCTCCTTGCTTTGGGGAGTCTGGACCATCTGAGTCAGAGTCTAAACTGGCTGGAGGGGAGGCAGAGAGACTCGGGGAGGAAGATCGATTGTCCTGGTCGATGTCCCGCCCACTGCTCAGGCTACTGCTCAGACTATTGGCCAAGCTCCCTACAACTGAGCTCCGGCTGCCCTGGGATTGGCCATCCTCGTTGTCACTGTCACGTGACTGTCTGGGAGCCGAGGGTGGGGGCGGTATAGTGGGGGGAGTACTGTCAGTTGAATGAGTTGAAGTCGGCGGGTTGGTGGCAGAGGAAGAATCCTGATGACATAAGGTGAATATCAGGAAAGATTGGAGAAAAAAAACATTTTGACATTAAAACATCGTAATTCAACCTAGTGGTGCTGTACAACATCAAGTTACACTAACCTGAACTTTCTGCCTCTTTGGTGGAGGCACAAGTTCCTCCCCTTCACTCTCTGATGAATCATGGCCTTGCGATCTGTGATTGAAGCGACTGACAGCCAATTCCTCGCCAGCAGCTCTTTGCTAAGATACAGAATATGCCATGCATATCATTTTTAAAAGTAAGAAAGACAAAAGACAAACTCACAGAGAGATGACACTAAAGCAATATGAAACACACACGCACACACACACATAGTCTTGTACAGCTAACCTTGTGGGACCAAGTCCCCACAAGAATAGTTAAACACGTCCACACACACACGCCACATTGGCACTATAATTGTACATCTAAGGCAATCATGGTGGTGATGACTCATACAGGCACGCACACAGCTTCATTACGGCTTACATGTAGATCAATATCTAATGACTGACAGCCTCTTCTTCTCTCACACACACACACACAAACACACACACACACACTTTATTATTTACAAAGAGAGGGGTGGGTTGGAGAGAGATAGACAAATATAGATGAAAAGACTAGATGACAAACAAAGCCATAAGGAGACGGAGAGGGACAACATAACAAGACAGAGAGTTACTTAGGGAGAACAAGGGAAAGAACAGACAGAAAACATGATAGGCTCTCACCGTCTGCCTGTCGTTTCGTTCTGCACGAGAAGGGCTGGGATGCGGACGTCTACCCCTCCTCTCCTCGTTGCTTCCCCCACGCCTCCGCCCACTGCGCATGGGCATCTGAACCGCCAGAGGTGGAGGGGGCACGACGGAGGAGAAGAAAAGGAGAGAGGAGGAACAAATGAAGAGAGAGAATGGGAAATGGGGTATGAGAGGGGGGGTTAAGGGAGGTAGAGGGGGTAAAGGGAGGTAGAGGTGGGGTAAAGGGAGGTAGAGGTGGGTAAAGGGGGGTAGAGGGAGGTAAAGGGGTCAAAACAATAAGTATAGAGAACAGTAGAGGAGGACAAAACCGAGGAGGGGAGCAAGGGGAAAGAAAAAAAGTGAGGGATAGAGGGGGCAGAAAGGAGGGGAGAGGGGAACGAAGGATGATGAGATATCAAGGGGGTAGGAACGAGGGAGAAAGGAGAGAGGATCAGGGAAGGGTAGAGAGGGGTAAAGAGCATGAAGAGGGAAATGGGAGGGTAGAAGGCGGCAAGAACGAGGAGAGAAGAGAACAGAGAGGAATAATTTTGGCATCAACGTCCACACAGAATATACACACAAAATATATACACAGAATCTACACACAGAATCTACACACAGAATATCTTAACTTCAAAAGTCTTATTAATCTTAAATGATGTCAAATATACCATTACAGTCCATCTCCGAGCAATATCATACAACTATTAACAATAAACACATATGCAATCTGACCCACACATGCACACTCAGCTACAAAGGTGAACAAGGTTCAAATGAAGGAAGACATTGAAACAGTTCATACCGATTCTTTGTGAGTTCGAGTTTTCATCGTTGCACCTTTATGATGTCCATCCCACCCCACAGGCCATAGCAGTGAATGAAGTGGTGTCCTTGTCTTTCTCTGTAGGACTGAAAATCACCTCACCACCATCTGAGCTTCTACAACCTGGAAAAAACACCACAATTATGAATTCTCTACCTAACCAGGCCAGTCCCATTGAATTAGGTAACATCAGAAAACCTCAACAAATAAATACAATGATACAACAACCATAAAACAACACATTATTTTACAGGACACGTTACAATGCATCATCAATCATAATAACAAATGCTGTACACATATTGAACGATAAATATTGAACAATCAATATTGAACAATAACATCAACATTACAACTACAGTTATAGGGAATTCATTGCAATGGTGGACTGATTAACTAGGCTTTGAGTGCATGTACAAGTCAAGGATCCTCAACACAGCGATGCTACAGGAAAACCAATATCCGACTGATATCACACTTCAATACTGAATGGATGCATAGTTGAGTAATACACCGCAGTTCAGTTCATTCAGAAGAATCATGGTTAAAGGAAAACTTCCACCCAAAAACGAACTTTTGGTATTTGTTTAATTTAGGTCATTGTTCAAAATGTTTTGCGTGTCAGCAATCAAGTTTTCAATATATAACTTTCAAAATACAGAAATACAGCTGGTATGATGCATTTTGATTCATACCGGCTATGTCAACAATGGACTAATGAAAAAAATACCAAACGATCGTTTTTGGGTAGAGTTTTCCTTTAAGGACATGGAATCTGTACTGTTGTGTATGACAATAAACACATTTGGAAGAAAATATTGTGTGCACAGATAATCCCCTTATGCTGATGAACATTCGTACTTGGATACTGTACAGCACCTTCCCAAAGCAATCGGATGCGTGTATGTGTTGTAGTCTTTTTCATCTCATCAGAATCCACTAAGGTGTTGTTTAAGCCTGGGTCAGAAAGAGTTTAAACTCTGTTATAGCCATCTCCATAAGATACTGAGCCTCAGGTAACCAGCTGGGTTATACCAGAGCCACATTAGCCCCTTACCTACCCTACAGGAGCCCAGCCACAGGCCCAAACCTGCATGGGATGAACAGTCTGATCATTCATTCATTCATTCATAGATTCTAGGGCTGGGAATTGCCAGGGACCTCACAATACGATATTATCATGATCCTTAGGTGCCGATATGATATGTATTGCAATTCTCACGATTCTATATGTTTTGCGATTCGATACTGTGATTTTATTGCGATTCGATGTTCCAAACATATTGCTCACTATATCTCTGCTGCAGAGAGACAGGAGAGCATGAGAAAACGTGTTTTGATCAGTCATGGAAAAATTATATTGCAATATTGTCAAAACAATACGATATATTGTCAAAAATAATATCCCAATATGTAACTGATTTTCCCCCATCACTAATAGATACAGGTAATTGACCATGACATTTAACATATATGTCCCAACTCATTCACCCATTCATTCCTTAGGGTATTAGACTATGAAATATGACACAGGTTTTACATGTCCAACTCATTCACCCATTCATGTTTCACTATGGCGAGAAAAAAAGTCAAGCTCATCTATACTGAATGAGGATTTAAATAGAACAGTTACACACTGGGCGAAATGAACTGATATATTTAGCCGGGTAGTAAGCACTGCGAATGGAGGCACTTGTGTTCAGTTCAACCCAGCGAGCAGTAAACACACACAGATTCAAAGTGTGTGTGTGTGTGTTTGAATCATTGCAGGTACAGTCAATCCGATGGTGGCGCCACTACTGCATCTATTAATTATTAGTGCATACTGCATATGTTCATACACTCACACACTGTATATTAACAGTTACAGCAGTTAGTTACAGATTCACACACAGACACACACAGTGTATAGTTACTTGGCATGAATTCAACATCAGGTGAGTGTGTGTGACCGACTGGCTTTGAACCTGGACTAAGTGCCACAAGACTGTGTTATCCTGCTGAGCTAAAGCCTAGGCATTAGCCTGGAGAGCTAACACAAGTTCACGTTTCAGACAAGGCTACTCGTCGGTCATCAAGCTATCTTGGTTCACAGAACCACCTCCTTTACACGTGCAATGTGCATAGCGGTACATTGACTTTTTCATATACTTGTTGTTTACTATATTGCAGTAGCTATAGAATTCACACACTCAATGATAACCATTGTGCCATCACTTGTGCTATTGAATCAATACGTGTAGGCCTATGGGCCTAATGTAAAGCAGAGGAGGGAGGCTATGGATCCCAATGACACATAGATACTGTATACAGTCAGTGTATATCTTAGTCACAGGTGGCTGGCTGCTATTATTTATGAGTTCATTTGCTGGTCCCTGGCTGTGGTCCATCAACACTAAAAGAAAACACAGCATTTACCATAGCTTACAATAATCACATAATGTACAGCAATGGTCAAACACACACACACACACACACACCTATGTGCACATTACCTGTTTCTCGCTCTCACACACATGAATGCATTAAAATGAAATATGTGATGCATCGTAGTATGCCTTTAGCCCGTGTAAGTATGCAGTTACACAGCTCACATCACCGACAGCAGGCACCGCAACCGTCCTCTTTCTTCTTTCTTCTCCCGCTAGTGTTATTGATACACATGCAGATGCGACCGGCTCTGCTATTCTGTACAACAAGCGAGCTACATCGGAATAGACTACATCGACGATGTAGACGGTATGTGCAATAGCAGATATTGGCTAACACTGATAATGCAGAATAGAAGTGGTCCTACGTCTATGCCTGTTGTGTTTCTCCCATAGGGTACTGTTTTTTTTTCTCCATGTCTTGAAAAATTATTCGGAATAGAATGGCGAATGGCATTCTTCACCGACTCACAGAGACGCATTTTCTCGTTGGAATGTGAGTGCGTCTGTTGTGCGTTGTAATCTAACACACATTTTACCCGGGCCATGAATTACACATAACGCATGATCATTAACGCACAAAGAAAGGGGAGGGAAGACACAAAAGTGGCCAACAAGAATAGCAAAAAATATAAGCATCCATTTTCCCTTCTCCTTACCTATGATATCCAGCGATGCGTGTCCCCTTTCACTCTCTCTTTCTTTAGCTGTCTCTCTCGGTTTATACTGTACGTTGACACACACACATAGGAGCAGCACGCGCACCTATAAACAGAAGCTGCTGGATCATATTGCAACAGGGTTCCGCAAATAATGCAGAATTTTCTCTCTCCTTCACAAGTCGTTGCAGGAAAAAACGGGGTGCCGCTGAAGACTGTACGAATTGATGCGTACGTTTGCCTCTTCCCCACCCCCCTCTCCCCCTTTTCTTTCTCCCTCTTCCTCCGTCAAGACGACTTTCACTTTTTGCCGTCGGTACGGTAACAAAATCAACTGAGGGCTAGCAAAGGATGCACTTCGAGGGAGAGAGAAAGAGAGGGAGAGGAGGGCGTGATTTGCATATTCTTAAGGAATGGGGGAGCGAGAAGGAAGAGGCGCAGAGAGAGCCAACACTCAGAAGAGGGAGGGGAGGGAAGGAGAGAAGTCCCTTTCTTCAGTTTTCTCTTCCCCCACTCCAATGTAGGATCACCTTAACAGTGCATTCGCCTACTATAGGCTACTTTGCATGGATCCTGTATACACATAATAACTCTCAAATTACAGAATCTTACGTTCTCTCCCTTTGTTCTATAACTTCACCCCACCATTGTATTGATAGGCATATGGCTATAGCATGCAGTCCCAATGTGTAGTCAAACAGCATCGAACTGCATCATGCCATTATAGTGCATTCTTAAAGTTTCAGTGTCCATTCTATTCATGCCTAGAACGGGGTTCTTCTTTGAGTGCATAACCCTTTCCCCTAAAACCTAGGCCTACCCCGTTCCTTCTGCTTCCACCTCTCCCTCCCTCACCCTCTCTCGGTCTACCTCTCTCTCTTTACTCTGCACAGTGTCGGGGGAGGTAGCTACGGTGTGTCCAGTCAAGCGGTTCTGCAAACCACCTCCCTACTCTCGTCTGTCGTTTTTTATTCCCCCCTTCACACAGCCCCCTGTCCCGTCTCCTATTGTGTAGTAACCATAGTAACCATATGGAGGAGCGACCTACTGCGCTTGCGCGCCTTTTACCTTCACATACAAGGCCATGTCTCGCGCTCCCTCTGCTGCTGCATTTAGAACATGCAATTGATATACCTGCAACAATGTATATAACAATGTAGCTACAGTTGATACATTGTTAATATGATGCAGCTTGTCACTGCGTACAGTGCGCATTACACGTGTCAGCCACACCAGGGGCTTATTTAGGAGGATGTAACTTTACAGGGCTTTCAGATATACATTTATTAGTGTATGTAGAACGAACAAAATTATCTATTTAATTAAGAATGGGTAAATGTGGCAGCCCAATGCATTTCTACCTGCAACGTTCCACCCCATGTGAATGTAGTGGCACAGATGAGATGCAGTAGCCAATATTTACATTTTAGTCATTTAGCAGACGCTCTTATCCAGAGCGACTTACAGTTAGTGAGTGCATACATTTTTCATACTGGCCCCCCGTGGGAAACAAACCCACAACCCTGGCGTTGCAAGCGCCATGCTCTACCAACTGAGCTACACGGGGTACAATATAGCGTATAGCCAGCCTAAAGTAGAGCTTTCATTTTAATTATCTCCAATAATAATATAAAATAAAACATATCACATACAAAACACGCAGACACAATTGTGGCTGATGTTTACATCATAAGTGTTCATATCTTTATTGATTGGATGGTTTCTGTAGTTAGCTTTTAGATGTAAGTGGTAACAGACAATTATGTGGCAGGCTTTTAGATGTAAGTGGTAACTGAAAGGTTGCCTAAGAGGGAAGGAGGGGAGGAAAAGGGAAGGTTAGGCAATTGAGGAAATTGAGATGGGAAAACTCTTTCAGGCAAAGGGGAGGAGAAAGGAGAGGGATGGAAAAGAACAAGGGAACAATACAAAGGGGAGGAGAAAAGAGAGGGATGGAAAAGAACAAGGGAACAGGTAGAGGAATGTGTGTGTATGTTTTGAGAGAGAGAGAAATACTGCTTTGTGCACCACACTTATGTCTTGTTTAAAACCAATCAGTCCGGCTGCATTCTGCACTAGCCTCCAACTCATCATCTTATCAAACATGTAGCCTCCAATACATCAGTGCGTTCTAAGTGATTTAAAGGCTAATTCATATGAATGTGTTTTTCAGTGCATCTCTCTCTCTCTCTCTCTCTCTCTCTCTCTCCTCTCTCTCTCTCTCTCTCTCTCTCTCTCTCTCTCTCTCTGTGTCTGTCTGTCTCTGCTTTACTTTTTAAGGGGGTAAGGGTTGATTATCGGTCTGCTCTCTCTCTGTCTGTCTGTCTTATTCAGTCTGTCTGTCTCTCTGTCCATCCGACCATATGTCTGTCTGACCTCTATCTATCTATCTGTCTGTCTGTCTGTCTGTCTGTCTGTCTGTCTGTCTGTCTGTCTGTCTGTCTGTCTGTCTGATGGATTCATTGTATGTATTTATGTATATCTGTCTGTGTACACCTGTGTCTGTCCATCTGTGTTAGTCCGTCTGTGCCCAGCAGTGATGTGATGTGTGTCTGTGATTCTGTGTCAGTGTCCGTCAACCCAGAGGAGCCTTAGAGGGCAGCGGGGTTCCGGAAGTTGTGCCCTGCGAAGCGAGCCTGGTCCCCTAACTCCATCCTCAATCCTAAGAGAGGATAAAGATGAAAAGAGGAAGATGGAGACCAGGAGAAAGACAAAGTGTTCAGAGAGGAACAGACAGACAGACAGTTATACAGACTCATACAACAACAACCACACACAGTAAGTAGGACACCAACCTCATGAGTTGATTGTATTTGGCCAGCCGCTCTGATCGACAGGGAGCTCCAGTCTTGATCTGTCCCGTGCAGAGGCCCACCACCAGATCAGCGATGAAGGTGTCCTCTGTCTCACCTGAGCGGTGGCTCACCATCACCCCCCAGCCATTCTCCTGAGCCAGCTTACACCTGGAGGACAGACAGAGAGAGATACACAGAGAGACAGACAGAGAGGGGGAGAGAGAGAGGGAGAGAGAGAGACAGATACAGAGATGGAGAGAGAGGGAGAGGGAGATATACACAGATAGACAAATAGAGAGGAGGGAGAGAGAGAGAGAGAAAGATACAGAGATGGAGAAAGAGGGAGAGATACACAAGAGACAGAGAGGGAGAGAGAGAGACAGTGACAGATACAGAGATGGAGAGAGAGGGAGCGATACACAGAGAGACAGACAGAGAGAGAGAGAGACAGCGACAGATACAGAGACGGAGAGAGAGGGAGAGACAGAGAGAGAGGGGGGGAGCGTGGTGGATGAGGTGAGTTCTCACCTTTACAATGTAAAACGCATTGAAAATCATTATATAAAGGTCTATATATAGGGTTTACAATAACATAAAACGTGCTCTAAAATCAATACACAATCTGCGTCCCAAATGGCAACCTACAGTATGTATTCCCTCAATAGTGCACTACTTTTGTCCAGGGCCCATATTGCACTAGATCAGGAAAAGGGTGCCATTTTGGATACACTCTAAAAAGGGAATCTGCTCCACACTCCCCTCCCTGACTCACGCCTGGATGGCTTCGGTGACAGAGCCGATCTGGTTGACTTTGAGCAGCAGGCAGTTGCAGGCCCTCTCCTCCAGGGCGCGCTCTATCCTCTTGGGGTTGGTGACGGTCAGGTCGTCCCCCACCACCTGGATCCCCACGGAGGCTGTCATCTGGGACCAGGCCGGCCAGTCATCCTGGTCAAACGGGTCCTCAATGGACACCACTGGAGGAGAGAGGGTGAGGAGGAATGTTAGTGAGTGTTTGTGTGTGCTGCAACCAAAACGCAGGTCTTGATGGAGAATAAGGGTAAGGACAGGGGAGAATTAAGGGTGACCTGGGGACCATTGCCTCTAGACACTGATCTAAGGACAGTTTTGCTTTTCAACCCCTAATGGTTAATGTTACAATTTATGAGCAGTAGATTTTCCTAGATCTGTCCCTAAAGGAAAGATCTACCTAGAGTGAAGGAACTTACTCTACCATGTTAAGGAGTGTGTATGTGTGTGTTTGTGTGTGTGTCTGTGCCTACTCTAGCTTATTAAGGGGTGAATGATGGGAGTTGGTTGATTAGCTCAAGACCCACTCATGGCCCATGGTGGATGGGCTCAGAGGTACAGCGTGTCAGTCTTAATGGGGATTTCAATTACTGCCTCTGACTGGACACGCTATACTATCATCTCCCATATCTGCCATTACACTCTACACTCCTCAGAGAAGAGAGAGAGAGAGAGAGAGAGAGAGAGAGAGAGAGAGAGAGAAAGAGAGAGTAGAGAGAGAGAGAGAGCGAGAGAGAGAGAAGGAGAAGAAAGAGAGAGAGAAAAGAGCTGAGAGAAAAGAGGAGAGAGATGAGAGAGAGAGAGAAGACGATGATGAGAGAGAGAGAATAGAGCTGAAGGAGAGAGACGGTCCTCCCGACGTTACCGACAAGAAGGAGGTTTTATATGCGCATACGTGCACAAGGCAGGTGGGAGATGCCTAGAGCCCGGTCCCCCATCACTGGAGTTAGAAGAGAGTTGCTCAGATGGAGTGGGTGGAGAGAGGAGGAGGAGAGTGAGAGAGATAGGGAGTGTGTGAGGAGGTGTGAAGGATAGAGTGTGAGAAGTGTGTAGAATTGTGCCTTGTTCCGACCAGTTGAGGTTTATTAGCGCTACAGTGCAATTGGCAGGTGGGAGCTGCATGATGAGCCCTCCCCCATCATGGTGCTATCATGTATCTGGCTGGTGTGTGGTGGTGGGTGTGTGTGGTGTGTGTGGGGTGTGTGTGTGGGTGTGTGAGTGTGTGTGTGAGAGAGAGAGAGAGCTTCAGTACAAGACATCAGTGTTATCATCGGAAGGGGAGTAGCCTAGTCAAACATAGCATGGAACAATTAACCATGTTAGGGTGCCAGGTACACACACACACACACCTGGGTAGTCATTGACGAAGCCCTGGTACATGTCGCAGAGCTCCTGGGCGCTAATGTGGCGGTCTGCGTTGGGCGGAGACTTGAAGTCCAGGTCGTACTTGCCCTCTTTGTAGAACTCAGAGGCTGCCACGTCCATCCCGATCACCACCTTGTCTGTGAAGCCTGCCTTCTCAATGGCTGTCTTGATCAGATCCAGGGCTGCACAGGACACAGGGACAGGACACAGGGACAGGACAGAGGGACAGGACAAAGGGACAGGACAAAGGGACAGGACAAAGGGACAGGACAAGGGACAGGACAGAGGGACAGGACAAGGGACAGAAGGGGACAGGACAGAGGGACAGGACAGAGGGACAGGACAGAGCAGAGGGACAGGACAGAGGGACAGGACAGAGGGACAGGACAAAGGGACAGGACAGAGGGACAGGACAGAGGGACAGGACAGAGGGACAGGACACAGGGACAGGACAGAGGGACAGGACAAAGGGACAGGACAGAGGGACAGGACAAAGGGACAGGACAAAGGGACAGGACAAAGGGACAGGACAGAGAGACAGAGGGACAGGACACAGGGACAGAGGGACAGGACAAAGGGACAGGACAGAGGGACAGGACACAGGGACAGGACAGAGAGACAGGGAAAGGGAGTGTGACAAGAAAGGTGAGCAGGGAGATGGGGATGTTATAAAACAGTGAGTGATAAATCCAATGCTGGGGTACTGTGCTTGTCGTGCTCTGTCTCGGAAAGACAATGTGCTGTGTCTATTTATGAGACCAGTTCGAAAACAACCACTGGCTCCCACCCCTTCAGGATTTGCAGTAATATTGGAAATCTTGCCTACAGTGCATTCAGAAAGTATTCATACCCCTTGACTTACTCCACATTTTGTTATATTACAGCCTGAATTCAAAATGGATGAAATAGATTTTTATTCACACCCATCTACACACAATACCCCATAACGACAAAGTGAAAACATGTTTTGAGACATTTTTGCTAATTTATTGAAAATGAAATACAGAAACATCTAATTTACATAAGTATTCACACCCCTGAGTCAATACGTGTTAGAATCACCTTTGGCAGCGATTACAGCTGTGAGTCTTTCTGGGTCAGTCTCTAAGAGCTTTGCACAGCTGGATTGCACAATATTTGCACATTATTCTTTTTACAATTCTTCAAGCTCTATCAAGTTGGTTGTTGATCATTGCTAGACAGCCATTTTCAAGTCTTGCCATAGATTTTCAAGCCGATTTAAGTCAAAACTGTAACTTCAATGTCGTCTTGGTAAGCAACTCCAGTGTATATTTGGCCTTGTGTTTTAGGTTATTGTCCTGCTGGAAGGTCTGGTGGAAAAGCAGACTGAACCAGGTTTTCCTCTAGGATTTTGCCTGTGCTTAGCTCTATTTAGTTTATTTTTATATTTAAAAAAAACTCACTTGAAGACAACAATCATACCCATAACATGATGCAGCCACCACCATGCTTGAAAATATGAAGAGTGATATTCAGTAATGTGTTGTGTTGGATTTGCCCCAAACATAACGCTTTGTATTCAGGACTTGAAGTTAATTTCTTTGCCACATTTTTTGCCGTTTTACTTTAGTGCCTTATTGCAAACAGGATGCATGTTTTGGAATTTTGTATTCTGTACAGGCTTCCTTCTTTTCACTCTGTCATTTAGGTTAGTATTGTGGAGTAACTACAATGTTGTTGATCCATCCTCAGTTTTCTCCTGTCACGGCCATTAAACTCTGTAACTGTTTTAAAGTTTCCTTCCTCTCCGGCAACTGAGTTAGGAAGGATGCCTGTATCTTTGTAGTGACTGGGTGTATTGATACACCATCCAAAGTGTAATTAATAACTCCATCATGCTCAAAGGGATATTCAATGTCTGCTTTTTATATTTGTACCCATCTACCAATAGGTGCCCTTCTTTGCGAGGCATTGGAAAACCTCCCTGGTCTTTGTGGTTGAATCTGTGTTTGAAATTCACGGCTCGACTGAGGGAACTTACAGATAATTGTATGTGTGGGGTACAGAGATGAGGTAGTCATTCAAAAATCATGTTAAACGCTATTATTGCACACAGAATCCATGCAACTTATTATGTGACTTGTTAAGCACATTTTTACACCTGAACTCATTTAGACTTGCCATAACAAAGGGGTTGAATACTTATTGACTCAAGACATGTTAACATTTTGACATTATGGGGTATTGTGTATAGGCCAGGCTGTAACACAATAAAATGTGGAAAAAGTCAAGGGCTGTGAATACTTTCTGAAGGCACTGTAAGCCAATTGGAAGGCTGTTTCCTTCCCATCTGAAAACACTGAAAGCTGAGGGTCTACAAAGTTCGTTTTCGGACCATGCAGTAGTGTCTTTGATATGTCTTTCCTCCTGTCTATCTCACCTTCAGTGTTCTCCAGTATGTTTGGGGCGAATCCCCCCTCGTCCCCCACGTTGGTGGCGTCCTGGCCATACTTCTCCTTGATCACTTCCCGCAGTGTCTGGTACAGCTCCGCCCCCACACGCACAGCATCCCTGAAAGACTCCGCCCCTACAGGAAGTACCATGAACTCCTGCATGGCCAGCTTGTTGCCCGCATGAGAGCCCCCGTTGATGACGTTAAAGGCCTGAGGGAGAGGGGGGCCAGGGGAGGAGAGGAGAGGGAGACATCAGTATTTGTCCATTTACAGCATTTATTCATTCCTTTATCCAGTTGTTCCTTCATTCATTTATCCAGTTGTTCCATCATTCCTTTATCCAATCATTCCTTCATCCAGTTGTTTCTTCATTCCTATATTCATTCATTCATTCATTCATTCATTCATTCATTCATTCATTCATTGACAGAGACAACTGTCTGAAGCCTTCATCTTATCTTTTTTTACAGAGTAGGCTATGGTTTTTGGTCAAATGTATTCTATGACAGTCAACTGAATACAGGTGAAAATGTAACGGTAATGAACTCACAGGAACTGGAAGCACTAGCTCTGTGTTTCCTGCTAGGTCAGCAATGTGACGGTACAGTGGGACACCTTTCTCTGCGGCACCAGCTTTGCATATGGCCAAGGACACACCCAGAATAGCATTGGCCCCAAACTGAGCTGAAGGGAGCAGAACGAATAGGTATGAATTAAGGGAATGCTCAGATTGAAAAAGCACTGGTTAGAATAAAACCTTCACACGCCAGCTCTTGAGACCAGGACTGGTCTAAGCTGGTGTCTCATACGTGGTTCATACAGGTTGTTACTTACACTTGTTCTCAGTGCCATCCATCTCTATCATGATCTTGTCCAGTTTCTCCTGTTCCACCACACTGACCCCCTGCAACACAACACATCTTAGAGAGCTGATGAGACATCTTTCTCTCTTTCTCTCAGTTACAAATACGCCCAAACAAACACACTGCAACACAGGACACAACCCACACACACACGCGGGTACACACACACGCTCACTACCGCACTCACCGACTGGATGAGGGAAGGACCAATGGTGTCATTGATGTGACCAACAGCCTTGAGCACACCTAGGAGAAGGAGGGATATAGTGAAGGATGAGAAGAAACAGGATGAAGAGGAGGAGGAGGAGACAGGACATTAGGATGAAGAAAAGTAGCTCATTCTGCGCATCACTCAGTCTAGTCATGTTCATGTTCCTCCTCACTGTGCTCCCGTAAATCAATATGGCTTACTGCCCATACCTCTCCTAGTGCCCATCCATCTCCTAGCACATTTATCTACCCCCCCTCCCCTCACACACATACACACACACACACACACACAAACGAGCATGCACAAATACACACACACACACACACACACACAGCTTCCTCAGCCCTCACCTTTGCCCTTGTAGCGGCTCTTGTCTCCATCTCTCAGCTCCAGGGCTTCATAGATGCCAGTAGACGCTCCGCTAGGCACAGCTGCCCTGAAGACACCTAGAAGGAGGAGGGAGAGATTTGAGGGAATGGAGGGGTGAGGGAAGGGAAGACAGAGGGGGGAGGGAATGGAAGGGTTGAGGGAACGAGGGAATGGAGGGGTGAAGGATAGAGAGGTGAGGAAAATGCACATTAGCCAGTTGATAATGGAATATCACAAATAATCACACCATGTAGCGATAATGAAAATTGCCAGTGTCTCACCTTTGTCAGTGTGCAGGTCCACTTCCACTGTGGGGTTCCCCCTGGAGTCCAGGATCTCCCTGGCAACAATGTTCACTATCGACATCCTGTGGGGAACACACACACAGACACACACACACACACACACACACAGTTAGAGGCAAATATAATACACATACAATTCATTCTCACCTCTAACAGACACGCACACACGTACACACACACACACGTACACACACACACACACACACGTACACACACACACAGCACCTTTCATCCTCTCTTGTAGCACATACAGTACACGCACCACCCCTCCTTCTAACACAGCCTTGTTCTAAAACAGCCTTGTTCTAAAACAGCCATGTTCTAACACAGCCTTGTTCTAAAACAGCCATGTTCTAACACAGCCTTGTTCTAACACAGCCATGTTCTAACACAGCCATGTTCTAACAAAGCCTTGTTCTAACACAGCCTTGTTCTAACACAGCCATGTTCTAACACAGCCATGTTCTAACACAGTCATGTTCTAACACAGCCTTGTTCTAACACAGCCTTGTTCTAACACAGCCATGTTCTAACACAGCCATGTTCTAACACAGTCATGTTCTAACACAGCCTTGTTCTAACACAGCCTTGTTCTAACACAGCCATGTTCTAACACAGCCATGTTCTAACACAGTCATGTTCTAACACAGCCATGTTCTAACACAGTCATGTTCTAACACAGCCATGTTCTAACACAGTCATGTTCTAACACAGCCATGTTCTAACACAGCAGAGGGATTTCTGCATTACCAAAACAAGCTTGAGAATAAGGGGGAGAAAGATGAGAGGAGCAAGGGAACGGTGGTAGAGATGATTAAATTATTAAACCCCCCTTTGGCCAGAATGATGAATATTTTGAGATGGGGAAGGGAGAGCAGGACAGACATAGGAAGACACAGACAGAGTGAGAGATTAAAATGACCTCTAAAATGTCTTTGCCGGAGACATAAACATGAGGAGAGGCTTAAGTAGACAATATAGAGAAGACTTACTCTCTCTCTCTCTCTCTCTCTCTCTCTCTCTCTCTCTCACACACACACACACACACAACTGGCACACACTGACGCATAGTCAGGAAGTAAATGCTGTGAAACAGATGCACTCTAAGCACATACAGCGACACACACCACACCGCAATTGACAGGCCAACTATCAAACACATTCAACACCGAACCATGGACTAGTAGGACACACACACAATGCGCTGTCATTCCTTGACACACACACACACACACACACACACACACACACACACACACACACACACACACACACACACACACACAGTCAGTGAGTTCACACACATAAGCTGATGCAATTTAGAATGGTACCTGTGCTGTGTAGTCAAGGACTAATCAGAGGATATGGGCCGGTGGAGGGATGAAATGAAGAGAGCAGAGAGACAGAGGAGAAGAGACTGAGAATGATGGAGAGGAAGGAGGGAATAGATGTATTTTGTTTTCCATTACCTGCAGTCTGTGTGAAGCTTGGTAGGGAAAGTGAGAGAATGTGAGCGAATGAGAGAGAAGGGGCGCAGGGAGGAGGTAGGAAAGGGGAGGGGGGTGAGAACGTGCGACAGACGGGGGAGGGGGAACGCGCAAGTTATTGGAAGATGCAGAGGAAAGGGGAGGGAGTGAGACTGGATCAAGGAGACAAAAAGAGGAGAGGAGAGAAGGATTCAGCATAGCAGCAGTAGGCACCGAAAAAGAGGGGTTGTGTGTGTTATGTTTTTGGCTTGAACCCAGAGAAATGTCACAAAATAGAATAGGAGAGAATACAACATGTGATACAAAACACAATCCCCCACAACCCCCCTGTCCCATCCCATTATGACACAGTCAACACACTGCACCACAGCAACACAGCTACAGCCCTAGGCACTGATGCTCAGTATAATGGTACACTAAACACTAAAATTACACATTAATTTATGCATACATTTGCTGGAACAATATTTTCGCAGATGTCATGAGTACTAGTCAGCAGTGATGTAAGCCCTGATAAGCTCACATACACAGAGAACAGGCAGAAACAGACGGCAGGGTTGGCAGGAGTGTATGCTGGGACATACTGTGGGATGCATGGGCTTAGCTTGCTGTGTGTATCTGCTAGCAAGAACATACTGGAGGATGCATTCACTTAGTTAGCATTAGCATTCATCTTCCAAGACATGCTGCAGGCTGCAGAAATCTGTTAGTATGGCTATCAGCTTTGTATAGATATGTGGATTGGCCTTGTATAGACTGTAGTGACCAAACTGTAGGTTGTATTTGGATTAGCCTTAGCATGCACAGTATAGGAGGGGAGACATTGAACTCCCTGTGGTCCAGGATAGATGGCCATATGGAATAGATACAGTGCCTTGCAAAAGTATTCATACCCCTTGGATATCTTCACATTTTATTGTTCTACAAAGTGGGATTAAACTGGATTTAATAGTAATTTTTTTAACAACAATCTACACAAAATACTCTGTAATGTCAAAGCAGAAGAATTGAAGATTGCTAGAAATGAAATAACTAAAATATACTTGTTGCATAAGTATTCAGCTCCCTGAGTCAATACATGTTAGAAACACATTTGGCAGTGATTATAGCTGTGAGCCTTCTTGGGTAAGTCTCTAAGAGCTTTGCACACCTGGATTGTGCAATATTAGCCCATTATTATTTTCAAAATTCTTCAAGCTCTGTCAAAATGTTGGGGGTCATGGCTAGACAGCAATTTTCAAGTCTTGCCATACATTTTCATGCAGATTTAAGTCAAAACTGTAACTCGGCCACTCAGAAACATTCACTGTCTTATTGGTAAGCAACTCCAGTGTAGATTTGGCCTTGTGTTGTAGGTTATTGTCCTGCTGAAAGGTGAATTCCTCTCTCAGTGTCTGGTGTAAAGCAGACTAAAGCAAGTTTTCCTCTAGGATTTTGCCTGTGCTTAGCTCCATCCTGTTTCTTTTTATCCTGAAAAACTCCCCAGTATTTGCCGATGTCAAGCATACCCATACCATAATGCAGCCACCACCATGCTTGAAAATAAGGAGGCAGTTACTCAGTGATGTGTTGTGTTGTGTTGGATTTGCCCAAAAACATAAGGCTCTGCATTTAGGCCAAAAAGTGTATTACTTTAGTGCCTTGTTGCGTACAAAATGTAGGCCCCGTGTAGCTCAGTTGGTAGATCATGGCGCTTGCAACGCCAAGGTTGTGGGTTCAATTCCTACAGGGGGCCAGTATGAAAACTATAAGTCGCTCTGGATAAGAGCGTCTGCTAAAATGTAATATGGATGTTTTGGAATATTTTCATTCTGTATATTTGTATTCTTCTTTTCACTCTGTCATTTAAAGTAATTATTGTGGAGTCACTACAATGTTGTTGATCCATCCTCAGTTTTCTCCCATCACATCTATTGAACTGTTTTAAAATCACCAATGGCCTCATGGTAACATCCCTGAGCAGTTTCATTCCTGTCCTGCAGCTCAGTTCAGAAGGATGACTATCTTTGATGTGTCTGGGTGGTTTAATACATAATCCACAGCATAATTATTAACTTGACTATGCTTAAAGAGATATTTAATGTCTGATTTGTTATTGTTACCCATCAACCAATCACTACCCTTCTTTGAGGCTTTCAAAAAGATCCCTGGTCTTTGTAGTTGAATCTGTGCTTGTAATTCAATATTTGACTGAGGGACCTTACAGTTGATGTATGCATGGGGGACAGAGGAAGGGTTAGTCATTAAAAAATCATGTCAACCCCTATTATTTCACACATAGTGAGTCCTTGTAACTTATGTGATTTATTAAGCAAAATGTTACTCCTGAACTAATTTACGGTTGCCTAAACAAATGGGTTGAATACTTACGCAACAAACATATTTGAGTTATCACATTTTTATTCATCTTAAAAAAAAAAAAAAAAATATTCCACTTTGACATTACAGAGTATTTTGAGTAGATTGACAAAAAAAAGACAAATCAATCAATTTTAAACCCACTTTGTAACAATAAAATGTGAAGCAATCCAAGAGGTCTGAATAATTTTGCAAGGCACTGTATGTGAATGAAGGCAGGAAATAGAGGACCAGGGCCAGCGATCTAGTGATGGGTCCATTTAACAGAATACAGAGATGAAAGATGGAGAACAAACAATAAATCACACAAGGCAGCTGTAAAATACAGAACCTGGGGGGGGGGGGGGGGGGGGGGGGGGGGGGAGTAGATATCCAGAGGGAATGTGCCAAAGGAATGGGCGGAGGGCAGGGAGGATTTTGATTGGCTTCTTCTCTGGTGCGTTCCATCTGGATGTCATATGACCATCTGCAGCTATTCTGACACTAGGTAGTGAGAGCACGAGTTTACACACGCAAGAGAGTGAGTGTGTAGGGATGCGAGTATGTATGAAGGGATGGACTGTGCCATAAGACTAATACGATTTACTGTGGCATTTATAATAGAAACAAACTGTCCGGATGGAAAGGCATGCTGAATACTGAACAGATTCAACAGCAAAACAAAAATACAACAAAGTAACATTTTCACACGCACCAGGGTTGGGATCAACTCCACTTCAATTCTGCCAATTCAGGAAGTAAACTGAAATTCCAATTCCCATGGCTTTTCAACAACGAAAATGTGTATTGGAATGTCAGTTTACTTCCTACCTCGAAACGGAATTTCAGACAAGAGACTGTATAAAGCTAGAAAAACGGCAGCAAACTCCACTGCTCCAATACCACCTTTAGTAATATCAGTCTTCGCCAGGTCAAAACCTGTTCTAAAAACATAACCCATCCACTCACTATTCCATGACAAACCACAACACAGTGTGCAATTATCTAACAATGTTTAATGTTTGTTTTCATTAATTAGTTTAATTAGTCAACAGTATACAATTCAATTCACAGACACACTAGTGTCTACACAAACATATATGGACTGTACAGCACGTGTGTATTATGTAGTGTGGCAATGTATATATATTTATATAGTGAGGTGGGCAATTAACGCATGTAAAGTTGGAGGGTGGCTTTATATACAACTTGAGTGTGAGTAATCATGTGTGTGCATGTGTGTCCGCACGTGTGTATGTGAACGGTACAGCAGAGGTTGAACCATAATTGCGGGTATTGAGTGTGTTGGGTTCTGATGTGTGTGTGTGTGTTAAATGTATAGTTTTTATATAGACAGTCCCATCATATCAAACATCTTGACGGTCAGTCGTGACCCTCTTCTCCCTTCTTCGTTCACAGCATCAGGCAGATCCCCTCGGTCTCCTCTCCTCCATCCTTCTGCTCACCTTTCACCCTTGACCCCTGGCAGGAGAGAACACATGACATCATCAGTGGCTTCTTGTCCCTCGTCTCCTCCACTGATCTGAAAACACTGGCTATGTCAAAAGCAATATGGAGGATTCTTACTGGGAATGAGCTTTTGCCTGTCCAGTTGTTTAATGTCAGAGCAGATGGAGGAGTGGTGTAACATAAACCACTGTAGACTATTGAGATACACCCATTGACCCCAGACAGGCTAACAACTGGGACAGGACCAGTTCCAGACTGATCTCATCTGTTCCATGGACTTTGACTCCCCTAGTGGATTTATTTGAAAGGACTGGATCGGGATTGGCATAAGCAAAGACCATTTATCAAGTTGATGCCTATCCACTACTTTTAGATCAACAAAGGGTACAGGAATTGATTTGGGACTGTGCCGTGCTGTCCACAGTACACACACTTTTACAAAACACACAAAGACAGACATGCACACATGGACACACACAGGTCATGCTCCTCCTACCTCTCACCAGTCGTAGCGGGGGCGAGTTGCGGGTGGGGGGTGTCTGGGGGACTCGTGGCGAGGGGTGGGCGGAGACGAGGAGCTGGGTGGGGCGGCGAGGGCCAGCTGTTGCCCCCCTGCCCTCCTGTCCCGGCCGTAGTCTATCCCCCGTGCGTTTGGGGGAGGGTACCTTCCGGCCGTGCTCCTCCACTCTTCATTGAAGGCAGCAGCCTCACCTGAGAGAGGGACAGGGGAGGTGGGGGGTCAGAAACCTGGCCAGACGTACCTCTAAACCAGGCAAGTCTAGCAATGGAAACAAACAGTTGTAAATACAGCCACTAATCCTCCATGTGCATTTTTTCCCCAAAGGAACATTTATTTATTATTACTTTGGGGTTATAAAATTGTGTATGGTCATACTGATTCTGCAGAACCGTAGTGAGTAGCTCCATGACTTACTCTCCTCCAGGTTGATGAAGTCCTGCCGTTCTTCGCGGTCGCCCGTGTGGCGGTTTCGGGAGCGTTCCATCACGTGACCGCGGTCCCAGATGTGGTGGCCGATGGCCAGGCGCTCCAAGCCGCTCTCGCTGTCACGCATTGATTGGCGCGTCTCGCGAATCTGAGGGGAGGAGGAAGTAGTGTTCAGCAGGCAGCTGGTAGTAGAGGACTGGGGTTGTAAACCCCTAATGAAAAATGTACATGCAATCACAGCAGTAGATGCAATTTGGCCCACTCTCTCTTACCCCTCCAGGTGCAGTCCTTAGTTCGCTGGTCTGCTGGTAGACTTTAGGGGCTCCCATGTCTGAGGAGGAGTAAGAGATGACTGTGGAGGAAGAGAACGTCTGACAGTTTGGCGAACCCGACATTCTGTCCTAAAGGGAAAGAAGATAAACATAATCCAGCTAGACAAGATGTGTTAAGTTTCAACCACTGTGAACTCCTGTTGGGTCTTTGCTTTAGGCTGAGTTGTTGCTGGGTCACAAAACATTAACTATAAAATGTTTTTTTTTTGTGGATGCAGAGAATCTCCATTGAGGGTGTTCTTAAGCCCAGGAACAGGTTTGATCTGGATCTGGGAAAGCAGCAAGGTGAGGGAATATCAGGAATCTTTCTGGACATACTCACCATGTTCTCCATCATTCCTCCCATCATCCCAAACATGTCCATGAAGCCTCCTCCCTGGGGAAGGAACACATGAGGAAGTCAGTTATCTGATTCTGAAATTGAGAATTAGTTTTAAACATATTGGAACAGGGCCTTGGGTGCTTTCTGGGTGCTAAGAAGCAGAGAGAACATCTTGACACGCAGGGACAAGGACTCACCATTCCCATCATTCCAAATGGCTGCAGGGCTCCAGCCTGAAAAGCAGTAGGAGGTTATTTAACAGCAGACAACAAATATGCAGTAACAACGCAGTGTGGCATGAAGTACTATAAAATTAGTCTACACTATATATAATCAAAGGGGAAATAGCTATGGTGTGTTGTATACCTACCAGGGTTGGGTCAATTCCATTTTAATTCAAAAAGTAAACCTAACTCCAATTCAAATTCTAATGTTTACTCATTGAAGAAATTTTGAATTGTAGTGTACTTCCTGAATTTGAAATGGAATTGACCCCAACATCACACACTTACTAGAGATACACACAGAATAGTGACTGACTCGCTCTTTCTCTCTCAAACATGCACACACACACCTGAAGGTGGGGTGCACGGGGAGGCTGAATCTGCGGGCTGAGGGGGAAAGGTTCGTAGCCAAAAGACCCAAACAGACTCCTCATCTGTTGCCTGTGGGCTGCGAATGGATCCCTATAAAACAGAAACAACTTCTCACTGAGAGTACAGACCATGAAAACACACACACACACAGTAGTGAATAAGGAAAGGGGTTGCTGACATTATCGTGAACACTCAGGTGAGAAATCCACCGGTTTCCAGGTGTATTTTTGACCATGATTACTCATCATAGAATGAGAATATAAGGGGTAAACACATGTACTTATGTAAAAAATAATAAGCTAGACATAACCATGATCCAAGCCGTGATATAGTTTGGTAATTGGTATTTTATTAGGATCCCCATTAGCTGATGCAAAAGCAGCAGCTATTCTTCCTGGGGTCCACACAAAACATGACATAATACATTACATTAATAGACAAGAACAGCTCAAGGACAGAACTAAATACTCTTTTTTTTAAAGGCACATGTAGCCTACATATCAATACATACACACAAACTATCTAGGTCAAATAGGGGAGAGGTGTTGTGCCGTGAGGTGTTGCTTTATCTGTTTTTTGAAACGAGGTTTGCTGTTTATTTGAGCAATATGAGATGGAACGGAGTTCCATGCAATAATGGCTCTATATAATACTGTATGCTTTCTTGAATTTGTTCTGAATTTGGGGACTGTGAAAAGACCCCTGGTGGCATGTCTGGTGGGGTAAGTGTGTGTGTCAGAGCTGTGTGTAAGTTGACTATGCAAACAATCTGAGATTTTCAACACATTCATGTTTCTTATAAAAAGAAGTGATGCAGTCAGTCTCTCCTCAACTCTTAGCCAAGAGAGACTGGCATGCATAGTATTTATTTAGCTATATGATGTATGTAGTTACCTAATATATTCTGGCTGCCTGGCTACACATGGTGGCAGGAGATTAGGCCTTTAAATCTCAGAACAAACAACGACAATGACTTGAATCATTAAAGTGAGTATAAAACCAAGACATGCAGTTCGCTTGGATAAAAGGCAATGCGATACTCACATCATGTAAGGGTTGTCATCCACGTCATTTAAATATCGAAACATGGTGTTTTGGTTTGCTAATTAAGCTAGCTGGGGCTAGCTAAAAACGTAGTTTCTTCGGGCCTCAGTACAAAAAATAATGTAAGAGGACAGTAAATGTTCGACCTCTCATTCAGATATTTCGACACTTCTCTAGCACTGCGTACCGACGGACAATAGTGAGAAATGTGCAGCAGTATTGTTAGCAAGCTAGCTAGCCTTGCTAGCCACCTAGCATTCGTGTTAGGAAACTAGCCTGAAAACTAGCTTACAAATCAACGTTGGAAATGAGCCCCTTAAAGCAGACTTGTTTGCCGATAGAAAGTCTTATATTGCTCACGCCTAAGTACAACTTAAAACATTGGCTAGGTTTTTCCTAGCAAGAGATAGCTAGCTAGCTATTTTTCCACTGTTGATTGCACATGAAAACGGAAGTCAAGCTGACAAAGGAAGCCAAAACGTCAGGAATCCAAAGGAAGAAAGATGTTGTCTCCACAATTTTTCAACAACCTGACCGTTACAAACGCCTCTCTTTTGTGCAAAACATGCACATATCCGTTCAGAAGCCGTGACGCTAAATGTCACCGAATAAAAAACAAATGACCCTGCAAAACGCCAGTAGCCCGCAAGCTAGAATTAAGCGAAACGTCAATAAAAAAAAAAGGGGGGAGGCAACATCCGGAAATGACGCAGCCTAGTCGACAATGAGGATAGAATGCAAGAAGGGCAACATGCCTTGCCCTTGCTAATGTGTAATATCTGTCAACGAATGTCACTTCTTTGGCATCTATTTAGATTTTTTAAAATTGTATTTGTATTGAATGTCACTAAAAAGAGCAGGTGACCGGGTGTCATTATGTCACTGGTTGACATAAGTGATCTAGAGCTTCAAATCGTCATCAACTATCTTTTTTTCTAAAGCATAGTCTTGATATGACTGTAAAAACATAACATTTTAAAACAAGGCTCAAAAACAATTTTAGGAATCAAAATATTGCCAAAAGTTACAGAAATGTGAGAACATTGCGCTCTACAGGCCTTGCTTTTGAGGATCAAACTACTGTTGCATGCATGCTCAAAAGTTGTGCCAACTGTCAAACATGTTTTTGACGTTTCAACTTAATGTCAGGTGCACAAGTACAGTGAAATGCCTTCTTGCAAGCTCCAAACCCAACAATTCAGTCATCAATATCAATGTAGCACTAAAAATAACATAACCTAGAACAAAAACACATACAAATAAGAAGAACACAAGAAAGTAAGAAGCTTTCTTGTGCATTCGGAAAGTATTCAGACCTCTTGACTTTTTCCACATTTTGTTAGGTTTTTAGAAATTTTAGTAAATGTATTAAAAATAATAAACTGTTAGATTAATTTGGATTTTAAGAATAATGACTAAAGGATTTCACCCCAAACACAGTATAAATGTTAGAATTATCATGTAGTGTCAACCCACTAACAGAGGGGGCGGTACTAACCATTCAAGGGGGAAGGCGGAAACTGTTTAGAAAAGTCACCTAAAGGTGGGAGGAGTCAAGTCCAAGAGGTATAAAATCGTCTGTTTGTGTCATTGGCGGGAGAGCTCTCTCCATGAATAAAAATACAGATAAGACTTGTGGGTTGTGGACTTTGAATCATTGATGATTAAAACCAGAGCCTTACAACCTCTGGTAATGATTCAAGCTTAGGTTGAATTAGAGATATAAATTCACATGACAGATTGGTCCTTCTGAGCGGAGCTTAATACATCTTTATCGTTCTAAAGACACCGAAACCCGTGCACGGGCGGGTGATAGCATCCGTAAAAGAGTCCTGGCCTTCGACGTTAAGGTTATAAACAGGCCGGTGATTACTCTTTATGAACGATAAAGACGTTAACAAGTTTGAAAAAGCATTTTAATCCAGACTGCGAGGAAAAGGTCAGTAATTTTTATTCATGGATTTTGGTAAAATGATTTGAACTTGTATGAGAATAAGTGATTCTTGTATGAGGGCAGAGAATAGTTACCAAAGTCAAAGGAAGTAATAATTATTACGAAACAGGGAGGGTCCGCAATTGACCCTAGGTAAATAGCTATTACCAGAATAATCTAGTCCGAAATGACAAGGGGTGAAGGCCATCACCAATGTAAACTAGTTTTTTTATTGAGACTGTACTGGGTACAGTACTACGATAAAACAGGGAAAGGGATGATTTTCGTCGTGTGCTATGGATAAACGGGTCAAAAGTCGCGTATACGACTGTGGATTTGCTAGAACTCTGTGTGTTTCATGAAACTAGAGCAGTTACGACCTCTAGGTTACAAATAGGTTTAGCAAATGATTGTATAATGTTGTGTACGTGTGAGACTTAAGAATCCATCAGTATACGTGATAATTATTTCTAGGAAGGAGCTAAAAAAAATAGGTCGCGTGAGAAAAAATGGTTATCGACCCCTTTCATGAAACCGTAGTTTTAAATAAAAGCTCTGGGTTAGGGGTTAAATAATTTTAAATGGTTAATTACAAAAGCAAATCATACGTTGGCTCAAAAGACGCACTAAAATAATAGCTCCTAGAACAATAATTCTGGGAATTATTACTAAAGGGGGGATTTTTATTTTTCCGCCATGGGAAATAAAACTTCTAAAGAGATCGAAGAAATATGGTTTATGGATCCATTTGTGAGAAGAGGTATGAATTTATTGGGCATCTCGAAGAAAAAAAAGTTAGTAGGCAGATGCATATCAAATGAATTTGAAAAAACAGCGAAAGGAGGGGCTAGAGACAGCGAGTGTTTTTTTAAGCGCGAAAGTGCTTCAACGGTAACAAAGGAAAATATTTGAAAAAATGATTCGTGTCAATTAAGAATTGGCTAAAAACACCACAAAGCGATTATTTGAGAGGTAGCTATAAAGTCCAACGATGCATATGTATGAACTTTCGCACTCAAACGTAGACGTACGTAATGAGTGAGAAAGTAGAGAATAATTACATTTGCATTTTTGGTCATTTGGCAGACGCTCTGGTCCGGAGCGACTTGAAGAGCAAACAACTTCCGTTCTGCCGCGATGCAGGTTATGTTTACATCCGGTGTCGCTTAGGAACGCTTAGCTAGTAGCACATCATTATGGAGTTCACCCAGTCCCTTTCACATCTGCCACCAATACGACTTAACGACGTAGAACGACTTGCTGACAAGTGGTCCCTTACTTCAAGATCGAAGCTTGATAAAGGCTACAAGTTCTTCGTTGAAGGTTACCTGTTTGATTATGAAGGTACGTGTTTATCTTTATTTAGCTTAAATTAGCCCTATGCTAGCGAAGGTTATGAGCTGACGAGTTTCTGTTTTGCAGCCTCTTTTTAATATTACTGCTGTTTGTATCGACCGTAAGATAAGAGTCAGTAATGTATTAATGGCTAATGCTGCGCCCTTTCTCCCAATCACTGTATTGAAACAGTCTCAAGTGTAGTTAACGGTGAGGTGACAGTGAGAGGGCGATGTTACAGGTCCATGAAGAAAAATGAGGAGGCTCATCGGCTTCAGGTTTCTCAGATAAACAGTTCTCTAACATTATGATAAGATAGGTTAAGATAGATAAGTTTTCTTTTTGTTGTGTTTTGCTGCGGTTGCAGATTTAATAAGAATGATTCCACAAAGTTCCACTGTGGATCAGTTTCAAAATCAAAATAGTATTTTTACTTAACTGCCATATACTTTTACTTTTTTTGCCAAACAGATACATGGTTACTCTTATTTGTAATACTAACCAGGAGAAGGACGGCAGGCATAGTCGTGATCGTTTGTCACTGCAGGCAAAGCACCCTCTGTGCTGTCAGGCATCTCATGATCAGAATCATCCAGGACAGCAACACCAAGACGCTTTCTTGCTCGCTGGTAAACTGACTCCCGAGCTTGTGAGCCGCCTCCTATATGTGTGAAATTAACCATATGCTTGTCATGATACATTTTGGTAATCACTTTTCAGTCCCTAAAATGACAAAATGTAGCAGCTATATTGCATCAGGATTAAATTATTAAACATTTTGTACAAGTAATATATTATTGGATTACAGTAGTATTACGTTTAACGCTGTCTACCTATCCTTACCCCAATCATTCCAGTGGAATCTAGACGGCACTGATCCCTGTTTAATACGGATCCGTCCACTGGCCGATGTGTATCTATCCTCAGGGGGAAAGTGCTGACTGCAAACAAAGGTGCTCCCACGAAGAATCTTAAAACTTGGTCCCTCATCTCTCCTGATCGCCCTCACCCAACGGGCACGTATTTCTCCATCAACAGGGAAATCGTGAAAACTCAGATACGGGAATTTCTGTTTGTTGTTTGAACAAAATGGTACACTGCAATAGCATCTTCTCGAAGATTGTGCCATGCTTCGGTGTTGGATGGGATACTGTTGCGATACAGACACCGGGAGAAAAGAAACAGCTAAATTAACATTCAGCTTTGACCAGGAATCAATATTTATCTAGCTATCATGCACAACAGTATTTGAATAGGTGAGTTACTATACATTCATGAATAAACTAAGCCATAGAGGTTTGCATGGAACTATTCTGTTGTGTTGGGCATTTGAATGGCATAAGGTGAAATATGTGTGTATGAGGGAATTCAACGGCGGGTATGAATGATAACCGGATACTATACTACTTAGTATTTGGTTGGTTAGATGCTGAATAAAAGATTTGAGGCGTGGTTATGGGGTAACTAGGAAGACGCACGTACTCAATGGGGAATGGGTGTAGGGAGAGAGTTTTTTTACGTGTATTAAAAGTTGCATTAGATAGGTCTATGAAAATATGTTACAAGTACGAATGACATTATTTCCTAAGAAGGAAGATTGTAGGGAAGTTTCCCGCGCCTCCCCCATAATGTAGGAAGGAGCAGGAGAGGGGGGGGGGAGAGACAGTAAATAAGTTCAGATGGTAGGAATGTCATGTATGCTGATCAACGATATCAAGCATTTGTTTTATTGATTGGGGCCGAATCAGAGAGAACTGTTAAAGATATTGAATAGCGAACTGAAATGGGTTAGCGGGAAAATACAAATAGTTGGAACATTTTAAAACGATAATTTATTTTCGTTACAGGGAAGCAAGTGGCATTGGCTGTTGTGCTGGGGGAATAGCGCCAGCCTGTGGTGGGTTCTGGATTTGTTATAAATAACTTTATATTTTAAACTAAAGTGATGGAATAGACTACAATTATAACATCAGAAAAAGGACAATATAATTCGTAATAGTTATTATAATTATTATTGATAGTTATTGCAGTTATTATTATCCTGAGTGGCGCAGTGGTCTAAGGCACTGCATCGCAGGGCTAACTGTGCCACTAGAGATCCTGGTTCGGATCCAGGCTCTGTCGCAGCCGGCAGTGACCGGGAGACTCATGGGCGGCGCACAATTGGCCCAGCGTCGTCCAGGGGAGGGGGGTATGGCCGGCAGGGATGTAGCTCAGTTGATAGAGCATGGTGTTTGCAACGCCAGGGTTGTGGGTTCGATTCCCACGGGGGGGGGGGGCCAGTAAAAAAATAAAAAATAAAATAAATAAATACATGTATTCACTAACTGTAGGTCGCTCTGGATAGGAGCGTCTGCTGGGTGACTAGAATGTAAATGTATTATCATTGATTCAGTAATGATAGGAGGGTAGAGAGGGAAGAGGCA